ACTGCTATTAATATAGCAGAGGCGCTATAGACTAGCATCTTCTATACCTATTAGGGAACCCCTAAGGGGATCGTATCCGATCGTAGATCGATACTAACATCTCACTATTAGAGCGAGATTTGCTTGCAGCTAAGACTAAAGCATCGACTATTAACAGCCTTCTATCTATAGACTAACGGTTAAACAGAGAGGCAGAATGCTACCCTATAGTAGTACCTACGCAGCTATATCAATAAGAACCCCGAGGATTAGGTCAACCTCCTATAGCCTACAGAATTCGTATACAATAACAGTGTATATTCATTAACTAAGGTCTCGCCCTATATAGCTATAATAGGCTAGAATGCTGCTATACTACAAGACCTACTATCGCTCGAGGCCGAGCGTAAGGAAAGGGAAGCGCGTTAAGTACCCGAAACACTAGCGGCTATTAAGAGGGTTTAGAAGATGCGGGAAATCTATACTAAGATAGCCGAGAAGTTAATAAAGGCTTAAGAGTACTAAAAGACCTACTACGATAAGCACTATATACTAATAACCTTTAAGCAAGGCGATATAGTTATGCTTAGTACAAAGAACCTCCGCATCCGCAAACACCTATTACCTAATAGCAAAACAAGGCCTAAGCTCGCACTAAGATATATTGGCCTATTCCGTATTCGAGAGGCTAAGGGCATATAGGCCTATTAGTTGTAGCTTCCACCTTATTATACTATCTATAATACCTTCTATGTATCCCTCCTTAAGCCGTACTACCTACGCGAAGGGGATAAAGCCCCTATAGAACACGAAGACATACTAGCGGATAGTAAAGAGCTATAGTCTATAGAACGTATCTTGTAGCACTAGACTAGGCAAGGCAAGAAGGAGTACCTGCTAAGATAGCAAGGCTATCTACCTAAATAGGACTCGTAGGAAGCTAAAGGTTCCTTCGAGGATATAACTGAGTTGTTAGATAAGTATTAGACTAGTGTAAAGAATAAGAAGAAGGCTAAAGGCCTATAATGTCGCCTAGGAATAATGCTACCCCCGGGGTACTATTAGCTAACTAATTAGAAGCAAGCAATTGTTAGCAATAAAGGACAATAAGACTATACTACTATAGAATCTACCTCTTTACTAGCGTACCTCACTAGCGTACCCTATAAGACCCTTCTCTTAGAGCCCCCTCTTATTCCCTTATTCTGTCGAAGCCTCGCGGCTTAGGCAATCGGCGAGGACGGCGCGGCCGGCGCGGCTATATTAGTAATAGTGTTACGGAGTGTGTTGCTATTTGAGAAAGGAAGGATACCGCTATATTAGTAACGGTGTTGCCGAGTTGTTGTTAGTAGAAGAAGGTAAAGTTAGCGCTAAGACGACTAGCGCTGCTATTGTTAACATTACTTGCTATTGTCGCTACGCCTATAGACACAACCTTACCTATACTACGAGCCTAAGGCACCTTTAATTAAAACTTTGATTAATGCTTTAAGCCTGTTAAAGGTTAATTAAAACTTTAAGGCTAAGTTAAAGCTTTAAGCCGCTTAAAGATTAAGTAGACTAATAGACTAACTAACTAAGGGCAAAACTATAGAGCTAAGCTAGCTAGGGTCGATCTTGCGGATAATAGGTTACTCCTCGATCTATCTAACCCTTTAAGCGAGGCGAACCTCCACTACTGCACTTATAATAGCCTTTACCTATAGAAACTAGACGAGCTGTGTTTTTTGAAAAGATAAGATAAGATTAACACTTGAAGGCTGCTAAACCTAGCTAATTAGGGCTAGCGAAACTACGAATGACAAGAACAATAACCCTCGGAAACGGATAAACCCTCGGAAGCGGACATTGCTAGGTCTTTTAAGAGTAGACGCAAAGAACTCGATACGATATTACTTAGAACGGAGGCAGTACTGCAATACCTCGTACGTCTACCTATTATAGTAGGGAAGACGCGCTCGTATTATAATTAGTCGAAGGCCTTCAATTCTTGTAGATATATATCACTTTATAGTTTATTATATATAGAGATAGCGCAGTTAGAGTTGTACATTGTATTGTTTAGAGGTGAGGTTTAATATAGTTATATAATCGGTAGTTGTGCGTTCAATTTAGCGCGGACTAAGCGGCTTATTAGACCTGCTAAGTTAGCGGCAACCGAGATTGATATTAGAACAAAGACCGGCTACGAGGGCGCGGCCTTTAGAAGGGAAGCGTATGTTAGGACCAAAGAGGTTATACGTAATTGGCATGTGACCGGGCTCGAGTAAAGCTAGGGTCTCGATGCCTTAGGCAGGGCTTGGCGCTTAGTAGTAGGCCAACTTGCCTGCCTTCCTCCCTCTCCTCCTAGGTCCTTATCGAATACTACTTATACCTACTACTACCCTATCTACCTGCTAATATACCCTTCTTATAGTAGGACTTACGAATACCTACCGCAACGAGCCTAGAACTACCTACGCGGGTAATAATACGTATCGCTTACCTAGTGTCTCGGTACGAGAAATTCGTATAGGTTGTACGTAGCCTTACGCTAGACGCTTAGCCTTACCTAGGCGGCGGAAGAGTAACGAGACGGCTACGTAAACACCCCGAACCTAGCCCTTCTAACCCTCTATTTACATACTAACCTCGTTTTCTATATAGCCTAGGATAGGCTACTAGGGGAGGGGGGGATACTATTAGGGAACCCTAATTCGTAACCTTCTCGATAGCGCCTCGTATCCGATTCGTAGGGCTTAGCGTACCGAGAAAACTCTTTATTTACCCTCTTCCTTTTCGAGTTCTTTAGGTATTGTTATATAGAGAAATCTAACTGCTACGTCGTATCTATATACCTATTTATTTACTCCTCTTATACCTCTTCTATAGAGCCCTACCTACTAAGGGCATTATACTATATAGGATATAGGCCTCTGTCGAGACCTTAGTTCCTTATAAAATAGATAGAAGAATAGTATAACGAAGAGGTTAGAGACCTAGTAGAGGTAATTAAGTTAGCTAGTTAGCCGCTAGGTACGAGAACTGCGAAATAGGGGAGGAAACGCGACTTCCGCGTCCTTACTATAGTAATTATAGACGCGACTAAGGGTACGTAGAGGTTGTAAAAAGCGTATAGAAGCTACTATAGATAGACTATTAAGTTATTAACTACTGCGCTATAATAGAGCCTATTAAGGAAGTGCCTCCTTACTAGACTCCGGCTTAATCTTCTTAATCTACTTAAATCGTCGGTAGAAGACGCCTACTATAGGTTTAGCAACTATTAACTAAAGAGCCCTCGATACTACTAGGTAAACGACTACTATAGAACACTCGCGAGGCTCTCGAATACGGCCGTTAACGCTATCGCATTATACCTACCTTTATATACTACGCTATTAAGTTCCTTTATCGTTTCCTCGGTTAGTATCTATCGAAAATATTAGCCTTCCTTAATAAGCCGTATTCGACGGTTTAGCGCGTTACGAACGAGCCGGAAACACTAACCCTTTAACGCTTTATATAGGGCCTACGTTAGTTTAGTACACCTATTACTAATCGTATTATCGACTTCGTTATAGGCTTAGTAGAAGGCCGTAAAGCTAGCTATACTAAGATTAAGGAAGAACTAGGTCTTAAGTGTTTAGTTTCTACGGTTAGGCGCCGTTTAAACGAGCTTAGATACTATAGACGCGTTATAAGAAAGGTGCTATTACTAGACGTAGATATACTTAATCTAAGGCCTTAGTTTAGTATATAGTCGCTAGTATAGCTAGATACTAGCAGAATAATAGTCTTCTTTAATAGTATTGCCTTCGGAAGGGGTAGATTAACTCGTACGTTTATTACGCGTCTTGTTAGTAAGGCACACGATCTAGACTGCCTTAGACCTCGCTTCCGGCGGATTAAGATATAGTATTACTTCGGACTTATTACTAGCAAGTAGAAGAGCTAGATAATCTTCTTTAATTGTACTTAGGGTAAGATTAGTTCTTATACCTTTACTAAGTATATAATGCTAGAGATTGTCCGCTTTTACGAAGAAGTCGCTATAAAGATCGCTATAGAGAGGGTAGAAGAAGACCTCTTAGAAAGCGACGACTTTAATTTACCTATTTATCTACTCGCTATTATCTAGCAACTAACCTAGCGTCTACTACTTATCCTTAATAGTGCCTTAATCTATAAAGTATAGCGCACTTGTAACGCTTTTGCTACTAGCAATATCGACTATTATCTAGATATATAGCCGCTAAACTCGCCTAATCTTAATCTAATTAAGAATGTCTAGGCTTTTATAAAGTATTAGCTTAATACCTAGTATAGATATCCCTTAAGCGACGAGAGGCATCGAGAGATAATATAGGACTATTAGGATACTATAACTAAGGCGGAAATTAAGGCGATTACGGGCTCGTTCTATCGTCGAATAGTAAGGGTTATATAGCGCAATAGATAGCATACTAGATACTAAATATTAAGGGTTGTTATCTCGGTTTGTTAAGCTAAACGGCTTGTCTAGTCCTTACTATAGAGATTTTAGTATCTTTACGTAATATAATAGCAGGGTATATAGTTATTAAATAGACGCTTAATTAGATTAGATTGCCTCGCTTATATGCCTTCATTTAATTATTATATTGCAGGGTGCCTTGTTGTTGCAAGGGTTAGTTGTAGATACCCACGAAGGATGAAAGCCTACTGTAGTAGTAATGGCGCTTTTTGAAACAATCAAGGCAAATCAATAATAAAAGATCGAACCATTCTTTAGCGTCTGGGGCCCCTGCAGATTGCCGAGAGCGCCATCGCCATCGCCATCGCCATCTGCCGTTTCCACGCTCAGCCTCGTCGTCGGCGTTGACATGACATGCTGAGCCACACGAGTAATATTGTCACGGTCACGAGGAGTAGGCATCACAGGGCGAAAGTCTTCTCTTCCCCGTAGCATCGGTCGTCGAAGCCGAACCAGCCTATGAGCTTCAAAGAAACTACGCTTTGTCATGCGGCAGACAATACCAAGGGAACATCATCATCATCATCATCATCATCATCATCATCACATTCCGCACTCGTACGATGCCGTCTATCAATTCGTGCCATTCATTGTTGAGAGCGTGGTCTCGCAGATTCGCCAATCTGTGCTCTCTTTCCTCTAAATACAGCGATTGACTCAAAAGCGAACGAGGGGGAATCCAAAATCACAAATGCAACGTGAGCAAGCAAAATACCCTCCTCCACCCTCATCGCCTCTACTCCTCGCCGTGCTTCCCGCAGTAGTCGTACAGCCGCCGCAAACAAACATCAATACCTTCGACTCGCTTGCAGACAGTAACGCCAGTCATGTCCTTTCGATGTCAAAACAGCATGGGGTATATCGGTTTCCGCGTATCAAGCCGTCCGGGCCTGCTCCGTCAACGTTGCTTGAGCGATGGCCTGTGGCGTCCGGTACGCTAATGGGTAATGTACATTAATGTCGGTGGTCTTGCGACCTTGTAGTCACGGGTAAGGCCCTTGCCTTCCCATGTCGCTGCTGTAGCTTCCGGTGTTGCCGTTGAGGTTGTTCACCTGCCCCCTAAGCGTGATCAACTCCTCCTGCAGCCGCGAAATGCGTAGCTCGTACTCGTCTTGCATCCTACCGAATTTCTGCTCGAGCTGCCGCACGTAGCCCCAGAGATCATTAGGCTCCTGTCCAGCCAAGTCGCGCATACTGCTTCCTGACGACCTGCCATGACTCGACAGGCTACCGGGGTTTGAGCCGTGCTGAGCAGATGCGTTGAACGACTGCGGGAGGGCAGCCACGTTAGGCGCTGCACCACCGGACATCGCAGCAGGAGCAGCAGCTTGCATGCCGCCACGAGCCTGTGGCTGGCTTGTCGAGCCTATGGGTGGCAAGTTGATGTGTGGCGCACCTTGCTGGAATTGAGCATTGGCCTGTGGTGGCGTCCGAGCTCCCGAGCCCCGTCCAAAATGTTGTTGCTGGAATTGCGTAGTCAAACTGGTCGAGCGATTGCGCCCGAGCTGAACAGAACCATCGCCGACGCTCAAGCGATGCTGATCTTGAGGCTGTCCAGGCGACAGCGGCTTTGGGGAAGAGGTCAACATAGTCGGTTCTCCGAAAACTTGACCTTGCCCGTAGTAAGCTCCTTGTTGTGCGGTTATGTCACGAGGCGACGTGACACTGCCTGCGCCTGCGGGAACTACCTGCGGTGGACGCATGCTGCATCCTTGCTGCTGCTGCTGCTGCTGCTGCTGCTGCTGCTGCTGTAGCTGACGCGGTGTAGGCGGATATGTGCTCGAGTGCTGTCGGTACACGGCCCGGTTGGGATCCTGCGGAGTTTCGAGCTGCTGGCGTTTTCGATTCGGCTCGCCGATGCGTCGGCCGTGTTCATCAGTGCCTTCGTCGTCGTCTTGATATTCGACGCCATCCATGCCTTCTCCCCCATCCCCAAACTCATCGTCGCCACCGAAGCTTGCCCTCCGGCCCGCACAGCCACCGGGACCTTTGTTGTGTCTCGCAAGCGCGTCGCCACGTGCAAATCGCCTGCCACACTTGTCGCACGTGTGCGGTCGCTCTCCAGTATGAAGCTTGGTGTGGCGCTTCAGGTCGTGTAAGCGCCGGAAGCGTGCCTGACACGTTTGGCAGACATATGGCTTTTCTTGACTGTGCGTCAGTAAATGGCTCTTCAGATTGTGGTGTCTGGTAAAGTCGGTGGCGCAGTATGGACACTTGTGTCTCTTGTTAGGACCTGCAGGCGATTTGGGGCTGGCTTGGCCGAAGCCTGGCAAGGTCATGCTGCGTGAAGGACCTGCTCCATCTTGATCTTGCTCAGATTGTGGTGGTGGCCCAGGATATGACAGAGACATCTGCTTGTCCTGGTCCTGAACGGCGAGGTGAGTTCCGTTGTTGTGTTGGTAGTCCCCTTCAGTCATCTGCGCCGGCTCAGCCACAAACGCGCCTGGGGCATGAGTTTGGTCGTTTGATGTGGCGGTCATCGCGTTGTTGCCGCCTGCGCCTGCGCCTGCGCCTTCCAGGGTGGATCCAAAACTACCCAGGCTGACGGGACTGACTTCTTGCTCCGAATCCATATGCGCGTGGTTCTCGGGCACATTGATCTTTTCTGCCATCTTTCGAAATGGCTCACTCATTTTGTTTGGCGCCGGCGCATCCTCGGGCCTGCTCATTCCACCAGTGCCCAACAGCGTCTGCATCGCCTGCACCTGCGGGTTCGGAGTGGTCTGGCGCGATCCTGCGTGGTTGTTCTGGTGGTGCTGCTGCTGTTTCCTGCGTTTCAACTCTGCCATCGCCGCTGCACCCGTGAGCGGCAATGGCGTGGATCGGGGCGATGAGTGCGCCTTGTCTGAGTTGGGCGAGAGACTCGCTGTCGCGCGGTCGACTACTGCTTTCGCGTGCGGGCGCAAGAGACTCGGGTTTTCGACGGCGGTGGCGGAAGTGGTATTGGGTCCGCCGGCGCCGGGCAATATGGATGTCGGTGTACGTGGGGCTCCGTCGAGAGCAGCGAAGGTTGATGGAGTAGTCGCGCGCGTTGTTGCTGCCATGTGTGGCTCAGCACGTCATATTATTCTACGGGTCGGAAGATCTATGCGCGCGATCAGTGCTCGTTCCCGTTCTCCGCAACATGCCCTCAGTGTTCATCAACGTGCGACACGAGCCAGATGGCAGGCAGCAGGCAGCGTGTGTCTTGCTGCAGCTGAGTTGAGGTCTACGCGGCAAGCAATGCGCAGGGGTGCCGTCGGTGCATGATTTGGAGAACAGGATGTTGCCGTCGATCAAGGACTCTATACGGGACGACGCACCTCGTAGTAGAATATGCTGGCACCAAGTCCTTCACAGCGCTTGAGCAGTGCTTCCCACGATGCCGTTCTCCGGGATGTATGCAAAAGCGAGTGAGCATCTACCCCAGCCGTTCCTTGTCGACCTGTCTGGCCCGTCGTCGAGTCGCACTGGCGATGGGCACTCTGGATCTAGAGCCTCCCAACGCCGAAGTAGCTCCCGACAGTCCTTTGCGACGGGATGTGTCAATGAGTCTTCTGCGGCGAGGAGGATGTCGTCAGTCCTGACGCCGCAGGCACAGAGCCAGAGGCAGAGCCAGAGCCAGAGGCAGAGCCAGCGGCTGCTGTTGTGGCAGTGGCAGCGGTGGATGGGAGGGTCTTCAAGACTGCGCTCAGCTAATCACAGCCGCACTCTGGCTGAGGCTGTTGGGCCAGAGAGTCGTCGGCCTGCTGAGGCGCAGTAGTGCTCTCGCCCACTACACGATGATATCGCCAAGCGACGGCGGAAGATGGCACCACCACTACCGCCACGATCGGCAATAGCGCAGTGGAATCTGTCCGCCGCGTCGGGTCGGAAAAATAAAAACCCACCTCCTCGACACACGGTGACACGGCCACTGACATCGCAAGACGGGTCATCGGTCATCGTTCTCCTTTCCCTGCGCCTGGTTGTGTGCTGGCGTCCCGAGTCCCGACAGAGCCTACAGACATACGTCATACGTCACCCACAGCCTGTGGCACGAGCTCAACTCGCTTGGCGCACTCGCCGTGGCTACTACGACTCGCAAGTCCACAGCGATGCCAAGCCTGGCCAGGATGAATCCCGCCCCGCGCGCAGAATGACGAAGCTTCGGCTTCTTTGCACTCCCAAACCTGTTCTTTCACCGGCATCACCTCTGGGCAAACACCTGCAATCTCACCTCACCTCACCTCACCTCACCCCCACGTGCTGCCACCCATGCCGCATAATTGATGAGTGGTTGTGCAAGATCTTGCCGAATCACATCGAAATCTTCAAAGCAATGCTGTAGACTGTAGTACCGACAGCACGTTACCTTCACCGGACCGACCACTGGACGCCGAGTGACGTTCACAGAGTTCACTCTATACGCCGATCATGCAGCTGAGGAGCACGTCAAGCTTCATCTGGCCAAGTGAACCACTGTTCGGCGCCTCACTACGAATTCTCGTTGCCTAATGCAGCATACTGAATAATAGCTGAAACACGCACTCCCACGCCCTGGCATTCGCTAGCTTTTCCCTCACATGAACACGAACACCCTTAGCACTTCTCTCAACACTACTGCTTATCCCCAACAACCAAGCAGAAATCTGCGCAGAGGCAGTGTTCGCCATGTCGCGTGCCTTTGCAAGGACCAGGCTGGTGATCGTCGAACCCTTTTTCCAACATCGCCGCTTGCCACGGCTCTCGGAGTTTGAGTGGAAGACTGGACTTGAATGACGACCGCGTGGAACGAGGTTCGTATTTTATGTGCTAAGATTCGACAAGGACATCGCGAGCCCAGTAGCGCTGTCAGGAGTCATCTCACCACCCGCCTCAGCTGCTGTCGAAGTCAAGTTGCTCGCCTCGTTGCTCCTTGAGGGCCTACTATCATTCTCATCCACAGATCGGGAAGGCCGTCCCAGATGCCCTTGCTGTATGGTCCTTCTCGCCGCAGACGGAATCCCAGCAGAGGACGTCGAAGATCGACAGGACATTCTCTTCCTCAAAAACCCAGTCGTCATCTCAGAATTCGTACTCGTGGGTGCACGTGGCAAGACTAGACCTCGCGGGAGACACGGACCAGAGGAATCTTCAGATACCAGAGAATCCTGCCGTCCTTCATGCTCCACACAATCATGGTTCGATTCAAAGATTCCTTCTTGACTCATAGAGCTGCCCTTGTCATACCAAACCACCGCCAAAGGCTGCGAAGACAAACAATCGTGCGCCACCACATTGACTCGACTCGCGATGAAATCCGGATCCGTACGTATGGCCGGAGGTGTATGCGGATGGATATAAATCGTAGATTCGCGAATCAAAGAATTCTCATCCAACAACACTTCCTTCGCCTCTTCTCCTTCATCCTCATCTTCCCCTTCATCCTCTTCTCGATCAATATTCGCCCTCAAAAAAACCCCATTCGCATCCTTCTTCAACGGAACCATACACCCATGCGCCCCATGCACAATCCCCGAACGATACTGCGCATCCCCCACCGCCCCATCCACTCCCGGGATCTCCACACAGTTTATCTGCAACAAATACAAATCCTTCGAAACTTTGATCAACGGCGCTTGCATTTTAATCCCTTTGTTCGTCACCCGATACGGCTGGCGCGGGATCAGATTACATCGATGCGTATGTTGCGCCTGCGCGAAAAATTTCGGGGACGCAGCCAAAATCCCACTACTATCGCTCGTATCATCTTCCGCAGGCCGCCACGCAAAAATCGACTCGTCGTTCGAATGCCGTAGAATTTCCCGTTGAAGCCTTCGAAACGCATTCTGTCCTTCTCCATAGACCAACGGCATCGTGATATTGAAAAGTCCCAGTAAACAATACGCTTCATCTTCCAATCTCGTTGTTTTCCGCCGACTCGCCCAACTCATCTTCTGCGCCACGGACGCCATTTGGTGTTTTTGGCGCGTCGGGTCGTCGAGGTAGTAGACCGGAATCCCCGAGGCTTTGGAGAGGATTTGAAGGAAATCTCGCGCCATCCAGAGCGAGACGAGACGTTTGGACCCGATGAGTTTCCACGAGGAATCGCAAAACCAGACTTCCGCCGGGGCCAGCAGTTCTTGGAGGGTCCAGCCGCGACGGAACCATTCGGAGGCGATGAACGACGCCTCGAAGGTTTCTGCTTCGGAAGTCTCGACTGCGTGGACGTCGGGGAGGTATGCGATGCAGAATTTCGCGTCGCGGTAGTAGGACCACATGGAGTTGATTGTTTCGGAGAGTTCGGCGGAGTTGCGTCTGTCGATGCAGCAGGTGTCGACCCATGCCCAGCGGACGTTGATCTTTTCTCTGGTTTTGGTGCTTTGGTTCCATTCGACGCGTTCGGTGAGATGGGGGTATAGTTTGAGGAAGGCGCAGAAGTCGCGGATTTTGTTGAAGCCGGGGCCGTGTCTTTTGCCGGGCGTGCTGAAGGATTGGAAGGAGATCTCGTCATTGGTCCAGCGGTGGGAGAGGATGGCGTAGGGTGGTGGTGGGATTTCGAAGTCTTGTAGCTCCAGTGTCTCTATATCAATCAACCGCATGCTGTTCAATTACACACTGGTTGGTCTCCTGAGTTGCCACCGTGTTTGATGAGCGAATATGGGATGTCTTCATCAGCTCGATGAGTCTGTGACGGCAAGGTTCCGAGTACGGATGTATTCCGAGTTTCTGCTGGACGGAGTTTTGCTGGGGGTTATTGTTTTGGCAAAGAGAAGTGGTAGGTTGATCAGAAGTGGAAGCCAAGGCGCCATGATGAATCAGAAGAGGTGGGAGCAAGCCTTGTAAGCCTGCTTCTGACCAGGATTCCCGGCAAAGCATAATGGGTGACCTCCGGCAGAGCTGAGAGAGGGAAACTCGCGGCTCCTTTATTATTACGAGATCTGATCGTTTGCCGTTCCATTTTAAACTCATGTCACACCATGTTTCTTCCTCCGAGAGATGGATCTTATTAGCAGCTGCGGACGAAATGGAGGACGACAAAGACGAGAACCGCATGAGTGAGGAGCGCATTGTGGAATCGATGAGGGACATTCTGGTTGGAGAACCAAGTCCACGAATCATCGAGCAGACTTTGGCCAAATACTGCTCGAAGAACATCGCGTGGCAGATCCACGATACGACGTACAGATTTCACGAGCTGATCCCATACGTCCTCCATTCTCGGAATCGCAGTACGTGACACATCCTTACGTTACTAAGAAGACGCTGATCGTGTTTATTCAGTGGTTGATGCCGAGATCGAAGTGACGCATTTCCTCGCCAAAGGCAACATGAGCTCTAATCGACACATCGTCCATTTTTTCCGACACGACGGAACGACTTGCGATCTGGAGTGCTTTCAGATCATCACCCTTGGCGAAGATGGGAGATACGTCGACATTGCTGAAAGCACGCGTGTGACCAATGACACGCAGATGAAATCTTTGTCTCCCGAACAGAGCAAAAGACCGGATAATGTCAGTGATATACATCATCTTTTCCCCCGTGTTGTCTTTGGATTCGCTGATCAATGTGCAGCACTTGCCGACCGCTAGGTTACCATAGCTTCACGTCGTGTCTGGCGAAGGCCGCAGGCTTACTTACGAGCATTTTACTGATTGCGCAATTGATGAACGTGGTCTGAATGTCGTTGGGAAATCACACGAAAGCAATTCATGTATGAAGCGACGACTTATGACTTTTTCCCCCATTTGCAGAAGAGATAAGAGGTCTACTCAAGATCCACCTTCCAGATAGTACGAAAGCGAATAATTCAAGAACTTGCACTGCTCCATATCTGGAAAGGTCATGGTCCGAGAAGGATAGTCGAGCCCTTTGGCAGGCCCTGTCTCGTTTTCGACCGGCAGCCAAGCACCGCTTTCCTGCACAGACTTCAGCTGGTCGTGGTAGCCTCTCAGTCTGAGATAGTCCAAGTCTGGATTGGGATCGCCTGTCTTCACAAATTGAGCAAAGTAGCCCGAAATCAGCTGGCTCGCAAGGAGATCTGCGTTGTCACGAAGCGGATTCTGATTGCCATAAGTGAAGCCAAGATCTGAAGCATGGAGTCGGAAGTAGGGTGAGTTGGGGTCGCCATATGGATACTGAGCAGAAATGGTGCCCTGAGAGAGCTCACCGAGATTGTTTGGATCGTAGCCTCGGTATGTCCGCTCCATCTCGTAGTAATATGTTTTCGGAAATGCCTGCGACTTCGAAGCAGCATACACTGTGGCTTCATCTATGCAACGGAAGCTGGTGTCTGTTGCTACTCGCTGCGAGATGTTGAAAGCGTCCAGTGTGAGGTTGCCGGTATCATATCTAGGGAAGAGGCCGCTGTCGATGATGGCTTGGGCGTATTGTGCGCTTATGCCAAGTGACTGCTGGATGCCGTCTGAGATAGAAGTGATAGTCGAATTGGGGTAGAAACATGTAGGGTGAATCGAGGCACCGTCATCTCGAGTGACGCCAAATATGACCGGCACTTGAGCCGTGGAGCCATTGTTGCGGCTTACAATAAGTTGCTCGGTGTTGACGATTGTGCCGTCTTGAACGACATATCGAGCCGTCTGCAGCGTGACCAATTTGGAGGCTGGTACAAGCTTCAGGCACGAGATCTGAGCTTGAAGGCTAGTTTGGTTGCAACCAGTCTCTGCCAAAAGTTGTGGGCCGGCTATGGTCCACGATTGGTTCACTGTGTAGTAGGAGCTGTATGTCGTCCCATAGTTGCCATCTAGGCCCAGAGTGACGCCTCCGCCAAGATTCGATTGTGCAACAGCACCAGCAATCAACTTCTCCCTGATGACCACAGGTGATCCGAGCAACGTGCGCACAGAGCCTGCTCCAGCCGACTCGCCTGAAAGTAGACGTCATTATTGGTGCGACAATATCGAATGTTCATAGACTTACCGATGATGGTAACTTTATTTGGATCACCGCCAAATTGCGCGATGTTATCACGAACCCATCGTAGCGCCGTTATTTGATCACCAATTCCAAAATTTCCTTTGATATCAGTGCCAGGAATCGCCAGAAAGCCAATAGCCGACACACGATAGTTGATTTCCACGCTGACGATATCCTCTCTGGATGCGAAATTGCCGCCATCTTGACCGTCAGTCCCGTTCGCGCTGCCGCCCACAAATCCGCCTCCGTGAATCGAAAAGAGCACGGGTCTCAGTCCTGCTTTTGACCCTTCTCTCGGGATGTATGGCGTTTGTATGTTCAGGGTCAGGCAATCTTCGCCACTCCAGGGATGAGAGCCCTGCGTGCAGTCTGAGCCGTATGATGTGGCCATTATTGTCTGTCCCTTTCCACTATACATAGTCGAGTACTGGAACCGCTCTGGCTTGTCTGCGTACGGGATGCCTTGGAAGCGGAAAGACTTTTGGTTTCGAAAGCCGATGTACTTGTTACCGCCTGAAAGTAAAGCAATCTGTCCATTGGTCGAGGCATTGGCATCTGGACCATTTTGCAGAGATGTTTGAGTGCAGAGAACTGGTAAAGTCCCGTCCTTCGAAGTTGCAGTCGAGAATTGTAGTTCGACGCCTCTGCCCCCACGCTGCACAATGCCATCTTGTATGAGATACCGCTTCTCAGGTTTCAAGCTGTCCGTGTAGGCCAGAAGATGGTAGTAATCATGGCTGTAGTTCTGCAGCTGTTGTTTTGTGATGAGAGATTCTCCAAGCTCAGAGCACGCAGAAGCACCGTGGCTGATATTCAATGGATCCAAGAGTATGGCTCCTCGATGGTTAATGTCGTCAGATGCATTTAGGTTATTTTGATACAAAAGTGTCAAAGAGCTCCTCGTATTGCTGCAGTCCGAAGTATCCCGGATTCCGGTCGGAGAGCACAGGGTGTTGCGTAGTAGGAACAACAGCACCACTGCCAGACAGCGAAGCATTTTTGAGTAGGTTACAATGGTATTGGTAGCCTAGCGGATGAAAAGCTAATGCTTAGGGTCACGAGCGATCTTATAGACGTGTCTAATGCCTCTCTCGCCTGAACGGTGAATGCCCTCCGAGAAGTCCAGTGATAGCATCACTGCAACTACACATCTATTGCATGTGCCGCTGCTCCCGTGCGGAGCGTCTCAAAGTAACGCCTTCATTTGGGCCATCCGGGCGCTGCATCTGGATTCTGGAACGCGGATTGTTCTTGCAGTTGCACTTTAGCCGGGACATCCTGTGCATTCATCCTTGTCCAGGCCAGGCAAGATTCCCAATATGTATGATATCGGTGTAAGTTCAACCCTTGCAAGCCAGGTACTAAAGGCTAATGTTAAAAGGTTAGTCTGCCGGCAGGTGTCATCAGAAGCGAGACCTGAGGTTGAAAAGAAGGAGAGACTGTGGAATGGTCCGAATGGAGGACCGAGTGAATGAACAGGGATCTCCAGCTACAGTAGCGTGCGATCCATCTCGCCAATCGGCTACAGCCGCCTGCTTACTCATCACTTCTTGGCTTCGGACTTCGCCTTTGTCCTCGACCCCATTCTTGCCCATCTTTGCTGCCAAACGGACCACAACTCTTCGCTTCTTCCCGAGACACTGGCCTTCCACCTCCAGCTTCATCTGTTCATCCCTCTCCTCAATATCATCAATGCTGCTTCTGGACCGGAAGTATTCCCACAAGTCCTGGTGGGAAGAGTTTGGGTGAAAGAAGGTCACAGCTGCTCTTTCTGAGCTTATCAGCAGGCCTCTTTCAAGATGTCATCCGCCTTCAATCATGAAGCATACAACGACTATATTGAGCACATGCGGATGACAGAATATCCGATGCTGGAGGACAGCCTGTACCTGGACCATGCAGGCGCCACTTTGTACAGCAAGAAGCTCATGGACCGATTCCATGCCGAGATGATGAGTAGCCTGTACGGGAATCCTCATTCGGCATCGCCATCTAGCCAGCGATCTACGCAAGACATTGAAAGCATCCGCATGGAAGCGTTGAATTTCTTTTCGGCTGATCCAAATGATTTTGATCTGGTTTTTACTGCAAATACCACCGCAGCAATCAAGCTAGTATTGGAGGCCTTTCGCGAGCACGAGAACGGCTTCTGGTATGGCTACCACGCTGACTCGCACACCAGTCTGGTTGGCGTCAGAGAGGCTGCGAAGGCTCATCGGTGCTTTGAGTCTGACGACGTTGTTGAGAAATGGCTAGAAGAACCCCCCGAGGCCGGACCGTCTCGCTCTCTCTTCGCATATCCTGCGCAATCCAATATGAACGGTCGAAGATTGCCAACGAGTTGGACTGCAAAGGCTTCAATCAAGAATTGCTTCACGCTTTGTGATGCTGCAGCTTATGCCGCCACCGCGCCACTCCGTCTGGACGATGTCGAATCTGCGCCAGACTTTACAGTTCTTAGTTTTGCCAAGATCTTCGGCTTCCCGGACCTAGGAGCACTGATAGTGAAGAAGAAGTGCGCGCACTTGTTTGAGCGAAGGCGGTATTTCGGAGGTGGCACAGTAGACCTGGTTGCCTGTGTCAAAGAAGAATGGCACGTTATGAAGTGTGGTTCCATTCACGAACAGCTCGAAGATGGCACCCTGCCGGTCCACAGCATAGCGGCACTCGGGGCAGCAATCAAGACTCATGCTGAACTGTTCCGCTCCATCGAACGCATAGCTTGTCATACAGCTCGGCTGACTACGCGCTTATATGAGGGTCTGTCATCGCTCGTGCACATGAATGGCAGGCGTGTATGCAAAATTTACACCGACCATCGACTTTCGTACGACGATTGGTCAACGCAAGGTCCAATTGTAGCATTCAACCTTATGGATAGTCAAGGTCGATGGGTCAGCAATGCTGAAGTCGAGAAACTGACATCTATCAAGAATATTCACCTTCGGACCGGTGGTCTCTGCAATCCTGGGGGCATCGCTAATGCGCTCGATCTTTCGCCCTGGCAGATGCGAGAAAACTTCTCGGCTGGCTTCAGATGCGGGAGCGAGAACGACATCATGAATGGCAAACCAACGGGCGTGATCAGAGTAAGCTTAGGAGCCATAAGCACGATGAGTGATGTGGCAAGGTTTCTCGATTTTATCACACAATTCTTTGTGGACAACATTGACCCGGCCCCAACATCCGCATTGTCCCATCAGACACTGCCGATCGAGAAACTTGGTCCCAGATTCTATGTTGAGAGCTTGACGGTCTACCCTATCAAGTCGTGTGCTGGTTGGCAAGTACCTTATGGGGAGCCTTGGGATGTTCGTACGGAGGGCCTGGCCTGGGATCGCGAATGGTGCATTGTCAAAAAGGGCACTGGCGCAGCGCTCAGCCAAAAGGCATATCCGCGCATGGCTCTCCTTCGACCTCATCTCGACTTCAAGGCTGGCGTTATGCGCGTACGTCTGATCGGCAGCGTAGAGCATATTACGATTCCCCTCTCGAAAGATCCGAGACAATTCACCACACCAGATTTAAGTGAAAGATTATGCGATGCATCCGTTTGCGGTGACAAGATCAAAGCACGAATGTACACCTCGTCAGCGATCACAGAATTTTTCACGTCAGCTCTGGGTGTGCCGTGCACTCTTGCCAGATTTCCAGCCGCGTCGCAGTCGTCGCCGTCTGTCCGGCACAGTAAAGCTCATTTACCAAACGACAGAGGATCTTCTCCAAGACCCATTCTACTCAGCAACGAATCGCCCATCCTCACGATCTCGCGATCCTCCCTCAATCGTCTGAACGAAACGATTAAAGCCAAAGGCGGAAAAGCAGCCCACCACGCTGCATTTCGTGCCAACATCATTGTTGCAGAGAATCCACTATCGCCACCCGGACAAGAACGTCCGTGGGCAGAGGATGACTGGGTTAGAATGACGATTGGAGATGATACTGGCGAAACGCAATTCGATTTTCTCGGAGGCTGTAGACGATGTCAAATGGTTTGTGTAGATCAGAAGAGCGGAGAAAAGAATCAAGAGCCTTTTGTTACGTTGGCGAAAACGAGAAGATTCGGTGGAAAAGTCATGTTTGGAGTCCACACCGCTCTCAAAAGTGGGGAGTATGTGCAGGGTAGGACTTGGAGGATCAGTTCGGGCAGTCCAGTGAAGACTTGGAATAGAGGGCCAGATGAAGTCTGAGAAATCTAACCCGCTTTCGAAATGAACCATGGATATGAAGCTGGCTGAGATCAGAGGTCATGGCATCTGGCATGGTACCGAGGTCAAAGCTGACCGAGTTGATATCTCCTGGGGTGTTGTTCAGGGTTGTATGCTGGATTTGGTGACGGATAGAAGATCTAGGAGACATTCTTTGCCGCCATACTTCGCGCTGGCACTACCTTCTAACCAAGACAAGCTTGTCATGCCGATGTCTTGCGGTGCTTTTCAGAATCCCCGAGGATGAGCGGTTTGTATGTATAGTGGCGGTAGGTTCAGTGTATAGTCCTGGCGTTTGGTCAAACCCACATCAAGGTGGAAGTTTCACGTGACGTTCTTGATGGATTTCCAATGTTGCTTTCGTATAGGTGTAAGGCGTATAGGCGAGGTATGCAGGAGAGGCGCGCAGTGCCCAGTGCATCCTCTCAGTGCATTTACTGCTTTTTCTTGCCCTCCTTACCACCGGCCTTGCCCTTCTTCTCCTCATCTCGCTTGTTGATAGCCTCGATTTCCTCTGCCTCTTTCCTTTCCGCATACCACTGTCCTGCCTGCAGAATCAATACACCAACCAGCACAAGCGCCAGAATGGTATTGCTCGCAGACAGCACCCTAAGGGTATCTTCGCGCCCAATATACTGCCCATCAGTTCCTTCCAAAGCCTTATCAACAAGTGTATCATCCTTGCCCAGTTCTTTCGTACCATAGGCTCCCATCGTAACGGTCCTTAGGCCTTTGACAATATTCGCGATATAGACGGTGATGCCAACCATGTAGAGAACCAAGCTCGCGCCGTCAAACAGCATATTCGCTTCAGAAGGCTTGAAAAGCTTGAGCATGAACCCGAGAATTCCGACTCCGATAACGATGTGGAGGATTCTTGAGATGAGAGGTGGGCTGGCGTGGATGAATTTCAGGTGGGTTTCTTGGAGCGCAAAGTAGACATCGCGTGGATTGACGCCGGCTTCGAGAACGGGAGGCGTCGTCCAGAGGACATTGTAGTCGTAGGGGAACTGCGCGAGAAGCATGCCCAGGAAGAAGCATGTTGCTGAAACCAGATGTTAGCGTGCGATAAGGATTTTAAACGGCGTGGGTGTAGAACATACGTCCTACGATGAGGAACGTCGCGAACGGTCCCTGGCCCTTCGCTGGCATGTTGGTGACCTTTGAGGGGAATGCGCAGGCAATTGGTCGTGAGGCAGAGTGGTAGTGCTCTTGGGAAGAGAAGAGGTGGCAGTGGAGGTCGACGTCAGATGGTCGAAGCTGGAGCTTGAACAGGGGGGTAGCCAAACCACTTTCACATGAACACCGACAAACAAAACATGAAACAAGTGAAGAAACAGCTGTCAACATATGCTGCCTCCATGGTCTAGACACGATAGACCGGGGTCCTTAACAGCGCCGACAATGCCAATGCCGAGCCTAGCTCACGATAAGGCTGTTTAAGGATCAGCTTCAGTCGGTGCTAAGAGCGCCTCGATCATGTAGGCTCACGTCCGGCATGGCAGTCGACCGAGTACACGCGTCACCAATGCGACAGAAAAGCAGCAGACCAGCATCGCGTGAAAACGATCTACAGATGGAAAAACCATCTCACCGCCACCGGTCTACATATGACGACCTCAGGGAAGGAGTCTTTTAGCGGCTCGTTGGTTCATATATCCATACCATAACCGTTCCTCCGGAAAGTTGGAAACTGGTATTGTTAAAGAACGAGGAGTTGATATGGCCTGTCGACTCGAGGCCTCGTCGGGCCACTTGACAAAGTAGACAACGATAAAAGAACCGACTCTGTTCGAATTGCTCTGCTTCTTTATGCTTTAAATCATCTCATCGGCGTGGTAATTGCTGGGCCAATGCAAAGCGTCAAGAATAACTGGCGGCCACTTGAAACTGACTTTGGGGCCTGGCAGAGGCTTGCGAAGGGAAAAGTGGATGATGGGTGGACAGATGAGCCAGCGTCCCAGAATTTGAGCCGCCAAATGTCCAAGATGTCAGACCAGGTTCGTGAAAATTGTATGGCTGACGTCAAGGTTGGTGGAAATGTTCATAAGGGAGAACGCTTTTAAATATGAGGAGCTGAGTACATTGGCGAAGCTGGGCTAGAAATACTCAAAGCATTACTATCACAGAACAGATCGAAAATCGTAAGAGAGCCTGTGGTCTTCGAACGTTTGTGACAGCCATTCGACACCCACTTGGCTGTGAGGCCTTACAGGCTTCGGACACTCGGAAGTGATCGCGTAAGATCACTGTCACACAGAGTCTCATCAATTGTAATTTGAAATCCACATATCTGAATAACGCCCTAACGCATCGAACCCACACCCACACAATATCTTACCCTCAATAAGCCAAAGTAACACTCCTCCCCACGAACTCCCCCCTCAAATCCTCCCTAATAGTCCGCTCGAACATCCAAACCCCGACATCCTTCCTATTCATCACATACCCAAGAACCGGCCTATCATCTCTCCCCTCCCGAATCTTGTTTATCCCACGACTCTCCCCATCAAACAGCAGCGTAGGTTTAACATTCACATACCCAGCAATTCCCCTCTCGCTCTCATCCTTCTTCTCCATCTCGTCTCGTAAGATTTGTTCCAAAACACGTTTATCTTCATGAGGATCTTGGAGGACATAGTGGTAAAACCATCGGTAACCCCAGGGTACGTCTTCTGGATGGCTGGAATGGCGGGATATGCCTGTTGTGGAGATGTTGACGTATAAGGGTTTCTTGGTGTTGGTGGTTGTTGTGAGTTGGTGGCAGGCTTGAAGGACAGTGCGTCCGGCGTCTTGACAAGTTTTGGGATCGTCTAGGACGACGGGTTTCCAGAGGCTCCATTGGAGGTGTGGTGCTCCGCCTACGCCGGAGATGATTACGTCTACGATTTCTCCGGAATCTGTGGATAGTGCTTTCTGGACGTCTTCGATGTTTTTGGCATTTCCGGGAATTATGGTGAGGTGTTTGTCTAGAGTTTCGGAGGAGATTCCCATGGATTTAAGAGAGTTGGTTAGTTTGCTGGGTGTTCGGGCTAGGGCTCGACATGTGTAACCAGCGTTGAGAGAGAGGTAGAGGCAGTGACCTGCGCAACCGCCTGTTGCGCCGAAGAAGGCGATGGTTTTGGTTTGCGGTTGTTGAGAGGGCATCTTTGATATTTTGCTTGTCGGGAGTCTTCCTTTGAATGTATGTGAGTTTGCTCTTGGTGTTTCGTTGCTGCTTCTGTTGTTCTGCTGTGGTAAAGTTATGTTTCGAAAACTCAAGAGCTGAAGGAGACGACCTTAACTATATACTTATCCCATTCCTTTGTGGCACAGCAGATGTACATCACTCGGCCGCACGGTCAAAGGATCGGACCAAGAATGCTCAGGCATCGCAATCGCTGTCCGCGCGTGCGGTACCTGCGTCAGGAGTTCACCCGCTGGAGGTCGGAAGTCGGCGCCTTGAATGCGAATGCGAACTCCACTTTTTGAGTCTGTCCGATTGATCATGATTGGTGGAATGATACATGTTACATGATTGCCAGGAGGACGAGTCAGGTGATGCATGGAAAGCGTGAGCGTGTCTGCGTCGCCAGGGTCGTGACTGCTCGTTCGTGGTTTTCAAGTATGAAAGCTCGCATGGCGCAATGCGTTCTGATAGAAGCACGAAGAATTTGGAACCTACTGTCGCCCTTGAATGACGAACGAATGGAAATGTTCATCGCTCTGCTTGCGTCGAACTGGACGGAAACATTATATGTGCAGCGGCAGTCCTTGATGTAGCCGCGAGATCACTAGATTGCATGAGCAGGGAAGGACTTCAGGAAGAGAGAAAAGCGCAGCGATACTGCCGCATTTGAGGGCGAAGGAGTTCTGGTCTAGCATTGGTGTTGGGTGCGAAGTCTGGCAGATTGTCGACTGCACTCGTAGCACGCTGTTCCAGCGATGTTCATCTGCTTCCGTGGACCTGGTGCGGCATAAGATGCACCAACATCGGCGGGTTGCGCTTGGCGTCTACGACCACAGTGATCATTTCGTGCAGCATGGCAGAGGATTGATGTTTCTCGATTGCCCAGAGGCTCGTCATTAGTGGTTATGTCGTGCTCGGAGCTGGACTCAATTTTGATCGGGCATGCCTCCAGGAATAAGCTATTACACAGTCAGTGTGTATAGTGTGGGCACAGAGTGACAGGTCACATACCATGCAAATGTTATTGCCATTCAGCAGAATCTTGTTCAGTTTCGTGTGAGCGCCGGTGTAGTCGCTATGATTGCCAAGTCAGTGAGCATTACAGTGTAGCGGCATGGATGTATGATTGCATACTATTCAGTCACATCTTCCAATACCATATCTGGACTGGTCAGTCAAAGCTTCCTGAGCGCGGCTAGAGAGCACACATACTGACGAAGTCGTCGAAGCCTTGAAGGGTGCCACTGAACTCTGCATTCATGATCAGTCAAAGCCATGGTGCCAACCAGCTTCCGCACGCACCTTTGTCGCCCTTCATGATGACCCATATCGGCGAGCCGACACAGCGGTCGATGAGTTCGAGAGGGAGGAGCTGAGTCGACATTTCGGGTTGTGGTGTGCTATCGCATCGTTGGTGCTTGCCAGTCGGAAATTGAAGTCATGTGCTTTCGCTTTCGCTTTCGTTTTCGCCCCTCGGCTGCCGGCACGCGAAAGCTTAAAGTTGACGCCTGGAAATACGCTGTACTGTACGACGTCGACCATCTTCTACGAGACAATCTTGGCGCTTGATGCATGAGGAGTTCAGGAGGAGGTGCTGCCTGGACGCCATACCATTTTGATATGGGTGGGAGGCGATGTCAAGGAGGATCTGAAGAGAGGAATGCCACCACAGCCGCCCATCTTTTCCGATGCGGCCCTTCGACTTCAACGCAGCTGCGTCGACATGGCGACAGCACTCGAGAACGCCGGCGCCACAGCCACGACCACTGCGACCATTCCGATCGCCGCCGCCGCCGCCCAGCGAATGCCATCGAGTCGCCCAATTGATCATCGATGGGATCGATCACGGGGCATCGTCTTCCAACATGCCAAGCGAGTCACGCCTTCACATGCTAGCGGCAACGATCGAACGTGGTCGCACGCAAATGGCAATGGCATCACATTTGCCCCAACGCCTGTGACGAAGCGATTTGCCCGAAGAGAAATTGCCGCCAAGAGCACGCACACGCCCACGCCCACGCCTCAGGCTTCGTCGATGTTGTCCATGGATACGCCATACAAGGGCGACTTCACTGCCTCGTCGACCCGTGAAGTCTCCTCTATGCGAGCTAAGATTAAACAATTGGAGGGCACTTTAGAGAAAAGAGAGCGCGAACTTCGGCAGTTGAAGCTGGACGCTACTGAAAAGACCGAGAATATCAACAAGCTTCAGAAAGAGGCTGAGCATTTGCGCACCACCATTGAGCGGATTACAGATGATCATGCTCGACAAGTGGCCGAGCGGAACCGAAAAAGGGAGCAAGAGGTTGAGCGTTTGCGCATCACCATTGAGGGGATGACAAATGATCATGCTCGACAAGTGGCCGAGCGGAACCGAAAAACGGAGCAAGAGGTCGCCGCTCTTGTTCAGAACAGCGCAAGGAAAATGGCAGAGCTCGAGCGGAAACTCGAGCAAAAGCAGGCTACGCACAACCGGCAACTCGAGCAAGAACAGGCTACGCACAAACGGCAACTCGAGCAAGAGCAGGCTACGCACAACCGGCTATCAGCTGCGATGGAAGCCGCATCCGCGAAGGCTCTTTCTGAACAGCAGAAACGGTACAAGTCCGAGCTGGAGCGTTTGCGCGCCATCTCATCTGCAGGTCTGGCTCAGAATCAACCTGTCCTAGAGGCTGTGCGAAAAGAAGGAGAAGATGAGGCCAACGCTGTACATGCTGAGCTGCTTAAAAATACCAAGAAGAATCATGAATTGGAATTACGAAAACAAGCAACTATACATGCTGAGCTGGTCACAAATATGAAGAGGAATCATGAATTGCAATTACGAGAACAAGTAACTATACATGCTGAGCTGCTTGAAAATATCAAGAAGAATCGTGAATTGCAATTACGAGAACAAGCGAGTATTGGAGCTCAAGTGGTGGAGTTGCGGGCCAACAATAAGAGGCTATTGCGAAATCTCGAGGCTGAGCAGGAGGGACGCAGGCTCGATCGCTTACGCCTCGAAAACGACTCAGCTGATCATAGACGTCGGGCGGATGACGCTGTCAAGCTGAAGGAAGAGCTCCAGAAAGTCGTAGACGGCAGACGAATGCGGGCAATGACCGATCGCTCCAACTATCGCGAATACCAGGACTTGTACCGAGACATGAATGATACCGGCTACCAGCTTCTCGGCGTCTTGATTTCTGATACTCGGACTGCTCTGCAAAGGGAGAGTGCTCAGTGGCGTGAGTCATTGCAAAGATTCAAGACCGCCAAGGAGTTGGGGTTGTTCCACCAGATGCCCGGGCGATACGGCGATATCAGGCAAGGTATACTGGACTTTCTCGATTCCAGAGCCAACCAGGCTCAAGCCGCCGCCAAGGTTGTTGAAGGCGAAGCGTTTTCACTACGTACCGAAATTCACGATCTGAAATCGGAGTCACACCACTCTAGAAGGCTGACAAGACTCTTGCGATTCGCCGATGAGCCGACCCATAGCGACGGCCTCAAGGTCGCAAGGCAGCTTACAGACCTTGAGCCCTTTAGGAGACGCCGCGAGGAGGAGCAGACAGAAGTGAAGAGGCTAGAGGAGAGGTTGCAGGGTACCTTGCTTGACGCACAGCGGACTGAGGTTGAAGCTGAGCTAGGACTGGCCAGAGAGAGGCTACGCCTCATCGACATGAATTTTGCGTATTTCGATCAGCTACGTTATTCGGAGTCATTCAAAGTGAACCTCAATCTGAGCCCGACTCAAAAGCGAATCGAGACACACATCGACGAACTTCGGAAACGTCTGCACGAGGTCACCAATCAGCATACCAAGGCAGTGGAAGATGCCAAAGATCAGCGAGCTAAAAGATCACTACGCGAGACAGAACGAAAGCTGAATACGCAGTTCGAGATCCACGTACGGCTCATACGCCAGAGAAGCATGTACGAGGAGGAACTGGGCGTGACCGACCTTGAAGAAGCGGAAAGAAAATTTGATAGTGAGCAGACTGCCCGACTACGCGAGTCACGGGCGCGTGAGCAGCGACTTCTCGAAGCGATCGTTGGAAAGCGCGCGAAAATCGCAATGACGAAACGTGAGCGCGCATGGTCGGCGCCCGCGGCATCTCCAGTCGCTACGAGATCAACAAAGTCGGATCGAAGCGCAAATCTGGCGAACAAATCGAGCTCTGCCGCAAGCCGCAAACTTCCAAAAACGTTGCAATTGAAGACGCTTTCGCGTGCGGGGATAGTGAATTTGCGTCGCTCTTTAGCTGGACGGAGACCTGAAGCACTTCTTCTCGACTATCATAAGCAGATACCGCTCCTCAACCGGGCGCGTGGTCTACGTATAAGCGAACCAGAGAGCGTTAGACTAATTGACGAAAACATCACCGCCGTCAAGAGAAAGATTGCTGTCTTGGAGAGCTCAGGCGTTCACGTAGATCCGACTCAGCTTGCCAGCCTGTCCTCGGCTCAGATTAAGGAAGGGAAGTCGGAAGTCGGAAGTCCCGTGCAGCATGGCGAAATGCAGTCAGAGGGAGCTGATGTAGAGGACCCATCATCCACGCAAGGCGGAGCAGTCGATGTCCCAGCGACTCGCTTGAATGGTAATGATGCCTCGCCAACAGGCTCCAACACTTCGGACCCTCAAGCCAGTGGGGTTTCGACCGCCAGTGGCAACGCTGAGACCGGATTGGATATCAAAATTAACAAGACTGCTCCAATTCCTCGGCGAAAGCGCACTCGTCTGGTGCCACAGCAGTCTAAGCCAAGCCAGCTTAGCATTTCTGATCTCAAGTCAAGCCTCGGCACTGGTGGCGGCAGTGGAGGATATTTAAAGCTAAGGCCAACGGTATCGCAGCCAGCGCCCTATCGACCTTGGCCGTACCATACTCACAGTCGACGCTTCTCGACAGCTATCCAAATGTGGCATCGAGATCTACGATGGTCCACCTTAAGTCAAGCATTGCAGGCACCAAACATCGAGGCTGTCTTCCCAACCGCCTTTGATCCCAGACACTCTCCATCAACGCTCAATCTCACTTCTGAGTCGGCGCGTCCCAGCTCTAGCGCGACTGAAGATGCAGCTGAAAAGGCCGAAGACATCGACACGAATCTCGAAGCGCCCACGGTTCTTGACTATCAAATTCCTCCCAAGGATTATCGAGATGCTGTCATGGCATCGCCAAGTTCAGCGGCCGCGTTCTGGTCCCATACTTTGTACAAGTCCTCGGAAGGGTCTAAAGTACAGGTCTACTACTGTAAGACCATGGAGACTGCCGAGAGGCAGCTCCAGCTCTTTCTCAACGAGCCCGTCCTTGGTTTCGATCTTGAGTGGGAGCAATATGCTGGTTCAGATAAGGATTCCATCAAGAAGAACATCAGCCTTGTACAAATTGCAGCTGAAGACAAGATTGCCCTTATCCAAGTGGCGCTCTTTAAAGGCGACACTATCGAAGAGCTCATGCCTCCTTCCTTGCGCACGATCCTCCAAGACGAGAACGTCGCGAAGGCCGGCGTCAACGTAGGAGGCGATGCCACGCGGATTCGAAAGTATTTCGACATCAACATGCGTGGCGTCTTTGAGCTCAGCCATATGTATCGCATCGTCCGGACGCCAAGTCAGGTGAGCTTCAAGCTGGTCAGTCTTGCGGAACAGGTGCAAAATGTGCTGCTTTTGCCACTTTTGAAAAGTGACGTTCGTGTATCAGCTTGGAGCAGAAGCTTGAACCATCAGCAGACGACATATGCCGCGGCAGATGCTTATGCTGGATTTCGTCTGTACAATAAGCTAGATAACGAGCGGAAAGCGATGACGCCCACTCCACCGCGACCTGCATATTTCGAAACCGGCAAGCCTCTTATTCTTGGCAACGGACAGGCTGTGCAGAGGTCGAAGGTCCGTTCGCGAGTCGCGGCCAAGAAGACAGCTTCCGGTGAGGCAGCCGATGATGGTGAGGATGATGATGTCTTCTTTGATGCTTTGGAGGAGCTGCCGGATACCTACGAGCTGGGCAGTCTTGAAGCTGAGTCAGCGTCCACAGAAGCTGTAAACGCGGCATCGGAAGAGGCTTCTGAAGCCATCAACACTGTTATTCATCCCAAGCTACCACCACTGGAGCCTACCACGACCACGTCAGCAGCGAAGCCCACATTGAGACCAGCTTCATCCCGACCAAAGCCTCAGGCCCTGTCCAACCCACAGACCACTCTCGCCGACAACTGGATCTCCTCTCTCGTGACAAAGCCTTCTAAACTCGGCCACTCCACCCTCCGAGCATACCATCTCTGGCACAACCAAAACTTGAGCGTTCAAGAAGTCGCAAAGTCCTGCAGAGAACCTCCTCTCGCGTCGACTACGGTGGCAAGCTATATCATGCAAGCCATCAAAGAGGAGAACCTCCCTTATCAAAGCGAAAGGTTGAAAGATGTCCTTCAATGTCTGCCGAGAACCGTTTGGGGCGCTTATTGGAAGTGGGTGAAGGAGTGTGGCCTTGGATCGTAGGTGGGGAGGAAGATCTTTGTGGATGGTGATGTGTACGGTAAATAGATCTAGATACCATGGGAAAGTTTCTTCTCGACTCTGGTCAATATGTCTCTGGTTTACATGCATCAACCCGAGGTGAAGTGGACGGCATCTTTGACACGATCCTGGGCGCAATTACCTACAATCAGGACGGACGCAGGCTGCCTGCCTTCTCTGTATAGAAGTGCGGGTGTATAGCTCAGGATAGACCTTGGCTCGTTCATCAAGGCGCATGTGACCTCTGCCAAGCCGTGCCTTTCTTTGCAGCCTGACCTGAGACACAACATCTCCTTCTCCTGCAGCAACAACGCGATGTGAAATTTTGGCTCGCACTCTCACTGGTACGTCCAATTGATCGGGAGCAATAGGCCACCGAGTCGCTGGTCACGAAGATGCAAGGAGTATGTAGACTTCCGTATCGATGTAGAAAGTTTTGGGCCTTGTATTTTCAATACTTCATTACCGATCTCAATAATGACATGGGTATCTTCCTTGAACGCCGTGTTTCCATGCTTCTTCTGCAGTGAGTCCAGCGATCGACTAGCTCTTGATCAAGCAGCACCAGCAGCGACAGTCGGCGCCAATCCCAACAATCCCTTCCGATACTCCCAATAATTCTTCCGGATAGGATCATACCTCGTAGCCAGCAAATCCAACGCCTTCCCAGCCCTCGCCTTCCCATCACCACCCTCCTCCTCCCCAAGGATATCCGCCAACAAATCCAGCGCATGACTACTCCTCACACCCTCAACCTTCTCCCAATCCGCATACTGCTCCGCAAACCCCTTCAAACTCCCCAGCCCCACTCCACTCTTCCTCACCACCCCCCTCAAATAATTCCAAGGACTACAATTCTGCGGAGCCTTCTCAATCGCCTTCTTCGCAAACGTAATCTCCCTATCCCTCACGTCCTCATCACCCTCCACACCCCCTCCATTCCCATTAATCACATACCACCGATGATTCCACGCAGAATTATTCCTCACATCTTTCCTCAACATCCTCTCCGTAAACTCCAACTCCCCATACTCATCCTCCCTCCAAAGCCCAAACCTCTTCACCAGCCATTGCCGATAACTCCACACATGATAATTCTTCGCATCCAACCCAAACATCTTCTCCACAAATTCTCGCTCGGCGGAAATATCCACTTCCTCGCCTTTGCCATTCCCAACTTCCGCAATCTTATTCACCAACAGATTCCGATGATGCCAAATTTGGTAGTTCTTTTGATGGCTCAGTGCAATCTCGTTCAACCATTCTAATTCTCCTCGCAACCCTCCGAGCAAGTCTCCCTTTTTTTCGTGCACGCTTATCAGCACTTTGGCGCGGTACAGCCAGACGGTGTAGTGGGCGGGATTCATGTCGATGAGGTCTTCGGTGAGGTCGAGGACTCGTGGGGAGTGTTCGTCAGCGGCCATGCAGGCGCGGAGGTAGGACATTGTTTCTGCGTATTCGTCGCTGTAGGCTATTGCGGCGAGGGGATTGGGACCGCCCTCGTTTGTGGGGAGGGGGGTTACGTCGGCCCACTCTGGGGAGTCGGAGTATTTGCCCATGATTGTTGTTGTGGGAATGAATGTGGTGGGTGTTGAGAATGTTTGGTTGTGGTAGAGGAAGCTTTCTTGCTTTCTTTTTTGAGGTCAGAGCGAAGTGGGGGCTGGAATGTGGGGTTCAGCGGTCCAAGTGAAGGACAATGATGTTTTGAGAACAATAGCAAGAGGACTGTTTGCTTTCTATGGAGAGGAGGAGGAACGAGGTCGCAGCTTCGATTGCAATCTGAAGGAGGAGAGAGTGATGAGTCAATGTTGAATTTGTGCCAGGACTATCTACCAACTTTTCCAGATCATCTATAATCGCTTCAACGCTCCAATAAAGTCGTGTCGCTCCTAGCCATTGCTTAATGGTGGAATAGCCGAATGGGTTGCTCCACAAAAGTTATGCCCAATTGCTCTGCAGTCGAAAAGCAGGCTTGGTCGTTCTGACTGCCAGTGGGCGCTGCAATATACTTGACGCCACTTCGAGCGACTCTGAACACATTGTCCGTGAACGGAAAGAACGCATCGCTCGAGACAGCAACCTCACTAAGCTTGCTCAACCATGCTTGTCGTTCTTCAGCCGTGAATGGTGTTGGCACCTCTTCAAAGTTCTTCTCCCATTCGGATCGCTCAATTCCACTTTCTGGGACGATTCCGGAGCAAAGCAGATCGATGGCGTTCGATTTATCTGCACGCTTGGTGCCCTTCTTCCACTTGATGCCAGTCGTTCGCTCGTGGAAACGCATCCACCAGTTGTCTGCCTTGTCGCCAGCCAGACGTGTGCAATGAATTCGGGATTGTTGGCCTGCTCCAAGACCGATAACTTGGCCGTTAAGTGCGTAACACACAGAGTTTGATTGTGTGAACTTGAGCGCAATCGTCGCCACAGTCAGATCGCGCAGCGCAGGCTCAGGCAACGGGTTCGACTCTTTGGGTACAATGATTGAGTTGAATGTGTTGCTAGGAGAGATCAGAGCATCGTTCCGGTTCTGCGTCAGAGTGATGCCGTAAATTGTGCGCTGTTCCTGAGGAGGTGGCGTATACGCCTTGTCCATTTGCAGAACGAGGTACTTTCCGCCCTTCTTCTTCTTGAGGATCTCGAGAGCTTCTGCGGTATAGCCGGGTGCCACAACGCCATCGCTGACCTCCTTTCCGATGATCTTTGCAGTTGGGAGATCAACTTCGCGAGAGAGCGCAATCACGTCACCGAAGCTGGACATGCGATCGGCTCCTCTAGCACGTGCGTAGGCTTGTGCAAGTCCGGACTGATCGAGACCATCTATGTCTTCAACCATGTAGACCTTCTTTTCCTGTTCGCTGAGAGGCACACCAATAGCGGCACCGGCAGGAGAAACGTGCTTGAATGATGCGGCAGCAGGGTAGCCGAGTGCTTCATCGAGCTCCTTCACGAGCGGCCATGCGTTGAGCACATCAAGAAGGTTGATGTATCCAGGCGATCCTCCCAATACCTTGAAGGGTAAGTTGCTGTTGGTCACGAAGGCAGAGGCCGGCTTCTGGTGGGGATTTGTGCCATATCGCAAAGATAGCTGCTGCGTACCGTCTCCAGCATACTTCTTGCGGAAGAATTCCGAGATAGCAGTATCGTAGTCGGCGGTGTGCGTGAAGGCTTTCAGCGCATACAATTGCCGTTGCTTCTCTGGAATTTCGCCCTTGGCAAGCTCCTGAAGGAAGTCGTGGTAGTCCTCTGGGTCGCTGAGGATTGTAACACGGCTGTGATTCTTTGCGGCTGCGCGGATGAGAGTGACGCCGCCAATATCAATTTCTTCCACCGCTTCCGGGACTGTGACATTGATTTTGGCCACTGTGTCCTTGAAAGGGTAGAGGTTGCAGATGACATAGTCAACCTTGTTGATGTTCTGCTCCGCAAGGTCCTTCTCGTCTGAAGCCAGATCGCGAGCGAGGATGCCTGTGATGGCGGATCAGCACTTATCGCTCCGAGTCGCGGCCGGAGACGAAATTGCCGCAGACGATTTGGCAAGCGTTGGAGAAGCGATGTGAAGGCTGGTTGTGCAGGACTTTTAAGCACCACTTACCAGCATGAACTGCCGGATGAAGAGTCTTCACGCGTCCCGAGAGCATCTCCGGTGCTTTTGTAATCGCTGAGACATCTCTACCCGGCAATTTTAGCACAAGTCCGTCAAGTCTCGAATGTGAATCATCACTCTTGCCAGACTCACTCAACAGGAAATCCACCCTCGCGAATCAGCCTGGCAGTTCCTCCAGATGCCAATAAGCGAACATTCTGCTTGATCAGTCCCTTGGCCAAGTCGAGGAGTCCAGTCTTGTCGTAGACGGACAGAATGGCAATCTTCTGAGGTGCTTCGGAAGCCATGCCGCCGACTCGCCGTTGCTCTTCGGAAGGACGATGCGGAAAGGACGGGAGAGATTGACGATTGTTTGATTCGACGTGCAAAAAAGCTGTTGGCAATTGTGTCGGCCTGAGGCACTCGCCTGGGCGCCAATCGCGCTTGTATGAAACTCAAAAGTTCGCGCCTCAATCTCGCCTTCAAGTTTGAACTACACTATCCCAACATCGATATCAAAGACTCCTTGCTGACTACATTCCTCACCTCGGCTTCGTGCGAGTCATTGACACACGGAGTCCAGTCGAGAGCCTGCGATGCGATGCGATGCGATGGCATATCTGTGTTCGCGAATGGGCCTCCCCAATGGTCCTGCCTTTCAGTTCATGCCGCCCACGACCGTCAGTCACTGCTTGCGTGTTGAGCAGCACATGCAAGCGAGGCCTTGGTGGGCGACCATACTCCGAAGATGAGACAAGTCGTCTCAGAGAAATGCTCGCACAGAACAGAAGCAGTGAAGAGATCGCAGAAGCTTTCCCTGAACGGCCGTTTCGATCGCTGCTTGACAAGCGCTTAAAGTTAAGAAAGGGGACTGCTAGTCCTTCTTCCAGGAGACTGTGGAGTGAAGACGAAAAACAGCGTCTGGTGCACCTGAAGCTTCAAAGCACCCCTTGGTTGGCTCTCATGCAACAGTTTCCCGGTCGCTCAAGAGACTCGCTGCGTTCGAAGTGGCGGGAACTTTCGTCTTCACAGTTGAGAAAAGATACACGTGTCCCCAGGCTAAGCTCATACTCTGAGCAAGAGGATGCTCTCATGGAAAAATGCATGGAGAAGGGCATGCATTGGAAAAAGATTGCCGCCGACTATTTTCCAAACCGCAGTCCTACCGCGATTTCAGCTAGGATCGTATCCATCAAGGAAGGCAGAGAATGGTCCGCAGACTTCAAATGGACTGCAGAAATCGATCGGCGCTTGGCAAAGCTTTATGATGAAGAGGGATTATCATTTCCTGATATCGGCAAGATCTTGGGTTGTCCTGCTTATGCTGCTCGTGCAAGACATTTCGACAGGAACCGTGGAAAACGCAGAGGTAAGGGAATATGGGGGAGAGAGGAAACTCAAAAACTACTGGCGTGGATACAGGCTGGACTGCCAGTGGTCGATATCGTGAAAGCTTTTCCCGAAAGGACATTTGAATCTGTCCATTCAAAGGCCTGCAAGCTACGTCGGCATCATGGCATTCAAAGTTCCCGAACTCGCCGATCATCGTAGGGTAGTAGGACTTTGGATACGCGAATGAGAGTCATAGTCTTCACCAAGATGGCATGAAGCGCAGTAAACCCGCGAGGTATTCCTCTTACCCGGAGCACCGAGACCTTGAAGGATATCTCGACGGAGAAGTACCTATCTTTTAACATGACGTTGAGGCGCCAGTGTAGCGCTAGGCAGGGAGGAGGAATGCTCGTTGTCGCACTCCGTAGATCCTACGGCATAGCTGACGACCAACCCTCGCTATCGCCGCGGGAATGAAGTAGCGGAGTGTTTGTCAAGATGGAGTGGACTGCTTGTACAGGAAGTATATCATGGGCAGCACGTGGAACAGGGTTGGTAATCGAGGACGATAAAACCAAGCACTATACCAATTTTATGGTAGGGCAGTAAGCACATCGAGGGTAGAGGCAAATCTTCCTTAGCTTAACATCCAAATTTGTACAGTATGATAGGTGTCCGACTATAGTAAGGTAAAATTATCGAGCCAGTATTATGGTGCATATTTCCGCGCTTGCATCCAGATATCGTACGGCCACTCACTTGACTGGAGCGGGATCGAAGACATACGTGGCCCACCATCCTGCCATCTCATCGAAACTTTGATCATTCTCGAAGGGAGCGTCGGCATAGCTTTATGATCAAGCGAGCTAGAATGTCAAAGTCTTCCATGCTACTCTATAGATCAATCGTGAAGTGAAAAGTCGGCGCATTCCACACTCGCTCTCCGCATTCATCATGCCTCTGCACGTCGCAGGCAGAACTAAATGGTTCATAGACCCCACCACCCACAGAAGCGTCCCTCATGGAGCCCTATTAATCTGCACCCTCTTATCCTCCCCACCACTAACAATTCCCACCTTCTCATCCCAAACAACACCAAAAACTGCACTCTCACTCCCCCTCGCCGACTTCGGCGCACCTTTCTGACTCTCCCTTTCAATTGTATACACGGGCTTTGCGATTGCATTCCCCGCAGCATTCTGACTCGTACTCCTCAAGTCCCAAATTTTGCAGGTAGAATCGCTGGAGGCAGAAACAAATTGATATGTGTTGCTGCTTGGACTGGGCGATATGGAGCGGATCCAATTTGTGTGGCCTATACAGATTAGGGAGGAAAGTTTCGTGGCTGTGGACCGGAGATCGATTAGATCAATTGTGTTATTTGTGTTTCCTGCTGCCAGAAGGGAGTGGGTGGGGAGATGGCAGATGCTGAAGATTGAGTGGGTGGTTGGGATTGTGGTTACGCATGTTGAGGTCGCGAGGTCCCATGTTTTGATTGTGTGGTCCATGGAGCCTGAATAGGCTACTGTGGCGTCTCGGGCGTCGAAGGAGACATCTTTGACCTGGTTAGTTGTTAGTATATTTTTGAGTCGCTCTAATGAAAATTTAGATGGAGACGAAAGTGCTGTGTACGATGTGGAGTCCACGGCTCTCGCTCGGCGGCGGAACTGAGAGCGATATCAGTCGAGGGTCTCTGGTGTTTGACTTACGTGATGCTGGTGCCCTGTGAGCATGGAAAGCGCTCCGCGCTGAGGAGTAGACACTGCTGGCCCGGAGAGTTTGCGGCGCTTATTGCTGGAGCTGCTTTCGGGAGCGGCTGGAGCTGAAGATTTGGAGCTTGTCCAGAGACCGATTGTGTGATCTGATGAAGCCGAAAGAATACGAGAAGATGGGGCGTGAACGACTATCCGGTCGATAATAGATTTGTGGCCTAGCAATTCGAGCTTGGGTGTGAGTTTGCCCCTGTCCTTCTCATCACTGTTTTCGAAGTCCCAGATGCGGATCGAGCGATCGTTTCCAGCGGAAGCTATTGAATTCGTAGTGATGAACTTTACGGATTGAACTGATGATCTATGCCATTGCCCTGTGGCAATCACTTGGGAGCTTTCATCCCAAATTCGGATGCTGCCGTCGAAGGACCCAGACAGAATCCGGCTACTCGGGGCCCCTGAATTCGAAGAGATATCAACCGAAGAGACCCATTCGTCATGTTCGTAGCTGGCGACATGAAGTGGAGGTACCAAGGCTTTCACATATTCGACGTTTAGTGTGGATTCAGCGGAAATTCCATTTTGAGTGAGGAACTCGTCGAGTGATGTGCGTAAGAACTGGCCATTAATGAGGAACTCGAATGGTATTGGCTTTTCTGGTCCAAGAAGCTTGTTGACGAGTGTTGAAAGCTGATATCTTTTCACATCTGTCCATTGCAATCAGTATTGACCCGGGTTAGGATGATGGCTTGGCATACCGGTTGACACGACTATGCTGCCCTGACTTTCCACCGGCAGCTCGATTTCCGAGTCTCTCGCCTTCAGGTTTACCCGCACTTGGGAAGCCCGCTCTCCGTTCTGTGCCGCCATGCTCTCTGCCTACAATTCGAAGTTTCGGGTGTGTTGTCGCAATTGGAGGCGCCTTGCTCTCGATAATTTTTGTCGGCGATCGGCGTTGGCGTTGTGAGGAGAAGGCGCAGGGGTTTGGCGCGGGGCGGGCCGTCTTAGGTTCGGCGTGATCCTTGCTCTTTCACATGCTGGCCATTGTTCGAGTTCAACCGTTCAACGTCATGAGCGGCGACTCATTCGGTACAGATGCCTGCTGCGTATCCACTGTCTCGGCCTGCTCATGCCTGACTGTCCCCTCCTCAACGCACACGACACTCTGCTTCAGCCTTCACAGTATATATATCGTTATCGTCTCCAGCATCGCGCTTGCTCCCTTTCCATCCTTAGCGAGTCACGCCACAAGCGGCAGCCGAAACTCTCTTCGCTTATAACGGCAGCGACGACGAGGGCGAAAGAGAAGGTGTAGAAGACTGGTGCAAGATCTTTTCTCTCTTCTCCAGCATGAGCCATCCAGCACCTCACATCGACGAAAATGGCGTATCACTCAAGCCTCGTCCGCGCGTGAGCAGCAGATCTTTTGAGCTCGGGAGTCCTCCAGACTCCGCCCCGCCGACGCCGCCGCCCTCCGATGAGCCTTCACGCGACGCGTTCCCGAACGACTACAACCTCCGTCCGCTGAACACAAACATGGCGGAAAGCAATGGGTCCACAACACCTGCTAAGACGCGAAGTTTCCTCAATCTTACCTCGTCAACACTTTTCGGCATATACCAGCCCTCGGGGCTGGAAACAGAAAACCCGACACCGTATGAAGCTGGGGCACAGACGCCTGCAGGTCAAACTCCTGCCAGCGACAGCAGACACCCGAGTTTTGACTGGAGCAGGGTGACTCTACCAAGAGACGCGTTTCAGAAAATGGCAGACGGACGGGTGAGGAGAAGTACAGCACCGCAGCTGCATAAAAGCCACAGCTTGCGTAAAGGTTTCAAAGGATACTTCCTACCACTTCTTGGACAAGTCGTTGCACTTTTCAGCGTCGGTGTATTGTATGGTCTCCTCATCTCACATCTCCACGATCGCCAACGAATCGCACCTGTAGCTGTCAACCTGGACCGCTCAAGATGGAGCTACTTGGCGACCTGGGGCATTATGGGCGTACTACTGGGCCAAGCTCTGCCGTACGCCGACAAATTGTTCTGGTCCGACTCTGAATCAGCATTAGATGACGAAGAGGAGACGGAAGAGGAGGCTGAAAGACGTGAGCTGCGGAAAGCTCGAGGAGCAGATGGCTGGTTAGACGTGGTGAGGAGTATTGGTGCATTTGTGGGGATCGCATTCGCTATCCGGAAATTGCCATGGCAGAGCACACTACAGCTCTCACTGACTCTGGCACTCGCAAATCCCGCTGTCTGGTATCTGATTGACAGGTCCTCATCTGGTTTTGTCCTCTCTACACTGGTTGCACTAGGCGGCACTGCCGTCCTACTCAGCGTAAATCCGTCTTTGATACCACAACCGTCACCAGTGGAAGTAATACAGGAACATGTAGCACGAACCGGTGGCGTCCTCAACGGCACCATAGAAGCATTGAAAGGCGAGGGATATGTTCTGGGCATTTTCACGCAGGAAAGCGTCGGCGTAGCAACCTGGATTGCGAGCGTATTATTTGTAAGCTCCGTATGTTTTGGAAACATTGGAAGGAGATTGAGTCCGGAGCGGCTCTAGAGCGCTCTCGAGTAGCAACTAGTTGAGTCTACAAGATGCTCACGCAGAGCATTCGACTAGTCGACCCAGCCTGCAGGTAAACATTGGTGTGCCTTGCATGTCCTCTGAAAAGCACCAGAACCAACCAGGCCAAGTCACAAGTCACAACCCTAATTCTAAGACCCTTCAACTTCAACTTCAAGCTCTTGCCGCTTGCCACAGAATCACAACTTTCACAAAATCAATGAATCCAAAGCGCAATTTTTCCGGTGCCATAATTTTCTGGTCCTACATCGTCGCCGCTCTCGTCTTCACCGGCATCGCAATCCTCCTTATCCTGGGGAGCACACCTCCGCTCCAACCTCAACGCCGTAACCATGCCTGGATCTTCACCATCCTGGCATTCTTTAGCTTCTCAGCCTTGTCTTTCAATATGCTCCATGCCTTAGTGCAGTCTTATGCTCTGTGGTCAAAACCCCAGCATACGACTCCACTAAGCCGACAAACAATCTGGACTTGGTCAACACACTCCACCCTCTTTAAAGACTTCGGAAACGAGATCGTAGCTTCTGATACCCGATAGCTCTGGACACGGAGTGTTTCATGGACGACACTTGCTGTTTGCATCTATATGTGTGCTGAAGGTGAGTTCAAGTCATCATCATCTCTCTCTGCTTCATGATGCTTATATTGAAGGTAAGGTGCTCGACACTCGATTCCTACCCCTCATCTCTGGTCCTTTTTTCTTCTTTCGCAGATCTTACCTATAAGTTTTGCTCAGAACCTTTTTTATTTGTTTCTGATTCGGCAAGAACCAGAGCCACGATCAATGCCTTCACCTATTGGTCTGCGTACCTGGCCTACAGTACTCCTTGTCACGGCGTATTATGTTTGTCAATCCTATGCTCGACATGCATGTCAGACACCCTACTTGATTCCGACCATTCTAGCCACCAGGCTCTTGCTTATGGTCCCGATGGCTCTGGCCACGTCTGAAGGAGGCTTGGAACCGTTTGTAGTGATACGGTGCATGAATGCTTTTGCGGCTGGGTTGGTGGGATTTGATGGGTGGAAAGTTTTGAGGACAGGAACAAGTGTGGAAGAGATTGGGAATGCTTTGTTTGAACATCCGGCTGTCACGGCTTTGGGGGTTGATGTGGTGTTGAGTTGGATTAGTGCGGCGGTGTGGGTTTGGACGCGGCAGCAAGAGATGGCTCTGGGGAAAAAGGTGCAGTAAGAAGTGATTCGCGTATAATGTGGCAAGCTATTCTTTTTGGATCCGCTTCACATCTCGTGATGGCCGCGCCATATTCAATAACGGATTGGCATCAAGGCCTTCTCGTAGAATTTTCTAGGTCTTGAGCTTCCATGTTCCGTCCAGACGATGTCGTTGACGGATGCCCGTCCTATTGAGGCGATCGGTCTGAATCAGCACTTGCACCATTTCTTTCATTCCATCTCCACGAAGTCGCAGTGGGAATCGCCGGACAATGTTGAGAGCATCATGTGAGCTGGACGCATCGCATGATCCTGGGGCGACGAGCACGATTCGATTCGATTCGAGTGAAATGTAGATGCTGCCGCAGTAGGATACCGATCAGTATACGGAGGATGTGAAGGCCAATGGATGTATGTGAGAGAGACGTGAGATGTTGAGGTCTAGACACGCGTTGTCCCGCTAGGCCACAAGCAGTATGGTACAGTAAGCTTTTTGGTGGACGGCACGTCATCTCCATTCTGTCCATCCTGGACCGCGGAACCATGCTTGTGAGGGCATCGAGCACCACCAGCGGCCTTTTGCCCTCGCTTTCCTGAGCCGTACGACGAACATATCACCACATTGCAGATTCACCATCCTCGCGCCTTGACCGCTCCCATTCCGACCTGCGACCGCCCGGCGGAAACGGATCCAGAAAAACACGCGTGAGGCTTCTGGAAAGCGCTCGTGCGGTCTCGCATGATTCTATGCCTCTCCACAAGCCGTCCCCGTCCTCGTACCGCAGCTCACCCCAGCCCTCCTCAATGTCAGCTCGCAGCTCTGGGTCAGGTTTTCATCCCTTTGGTGGCAGAGTGAGCAGACATTTTGGTGATTCGGTAAGCCTCACTTACCACACGAAAAGCAACGCCAACACACTTCACTCAAGCTTTTGCTCTACCCCTCCAACCTTCACATGTCGCGGCCCTATAGCACCGCTACTATGCAGCGCCAATTCATCAATCGCGATCCATTGCCGCACGTCGACATCTCACTAATGGCCGACATGTCGCAGCTTTCTCCCGACGATGCCTACCTGTCCTACTACGATGTCCGACTCACGCGCGAAGACGTCGATTCGATCAAGAGCGACTGGCTAACCGATAACGCGATATGCTTCTGGGAGGAGTATCTAGAGCGCGAGAAGCTCATACACTATCCAAATGCCAATATCGTGCTCCTACGACCGTCCATGAGCTTCATGCTGCAGAAAACGCAGAACCCACTCACAATCAAATCCGCGCTCCCAGATTTCGCAAAGACGACACATGTGTTCTTGCCGATCAATGATGCCAGGAGAGTGGACTTGGCGGAAGGTGGATCACATTGGTCGCTTCTGCTCGTCAGTGTGATTGACGGCGTCGCCTTCCACTACGACTCACTGGGTGTTTCAAATTACAACGAGGCCAAACTCACGGCGCACAAGATATCGCAGCTGCTTGGCAAGACTTTGAGATTCATCAATCTCGACGACTCACCACAACAGCATAATGGCATGGATTGCGGGGTGTACGTATGCCTGTTGATGCAGTATCTGCTCATCTCGAAGCTGCTTAGAGCGCACGCTCAGGATAAGATCTCCATGTCATTGCGCGGAAAGGAGGTCGACGCTCGAGGCGGCAGAAAAGAGATATTGAGGGTCATCGAAGCGAGGAGAAAGGAAGGCGAGAGGAGACGATCGTGAGTATTCTGTACAGGAGCGAGCTGCTCGCGGAGCCATGCTGACGTCAAGTGCAGACGAAGTCACAGTCCATACAGCGGCAACAGCAAGTCCCCGCCGCGCATTGGTGAAGAGTACGAAGATTCGTAGTGCGAGTCTTCTGACACTCTCGATGTGCATGAGGAAGACAGGCTGCATCTGATTTATTAGCGACGGCGTTCCGGAACGGATCACGGTTACTGTTACGAGCTTGCAAAGCTTTGAGGTTCTGGGACTAAGCATGCATTGCATTCTCTTCCGGATCTGCACTACTTAAGCGGGCATATATCAAACAATTGACCTTCTTCCCTGTGCAGGCGACCTTTCCGGTCAAAAGCAACTTCAAGACTTTGCCAGAATCACACGAAGCTGGATCTTTCTAACCGCCTCTAGCCTAACACTTCGCAGATGCTTCCTTTCCAGAATCGAATCTGTGCGGTGCAGTAGCGAATGCTGCGCCGTAAATGCCTTGCGCCTGCAAGCATTAGAGAGAACTAAAAGCTTTGTTGATTAGTCCCAACCGCAAATAGTCAATATAGCGAAGCACAGCAGAGCTGCTTATGGCCGAATCGAGACACCTTTCGAGCACGCGACAGAGATCTAGAGCTATCATCCGCGTCGTGCACCTCGCTTGGGCCGCCAAACTGCGGGCTTCCAGCCGCTAGAAAGTGCGCATCCTTTCACCTCCGAGGGACAACTGAAGTAAGAAGAGTGACACAAGTCACACAGCTCCTCTACCAAGATTATATCTTTTGATGTGACAACGGCAAGGAATTGAGTTTGGCCCTACTGAAACTCTAGACAGGGTATAAGCCGAACCGGCAACCGATGTCTAGGCAGACTTTTAATCAACTTAATAGCTTGCATATTGAAAAACGCCACAGTGCGCGCGTTGCGAGGATCCGCGCGTTACGCGGGCCAGACTTCTGAAAAGTCAGCTTCATCCATGGGCTTAGCTGTTGCCCTTGCAACCAGAATCTGACAATGTGAAAACACTCGGAGCGTCACTATCGAGCAGAAATGGCGGAAGGTAGCAGTCCAGTCGAGCAGCCTGCGAAAGATCAAGATCAAGATGTGCGATTCAAAATCACAAGAGCGCCTTCCGGCAAAGGTACACATACCGTCTGTCATGCATGCATGAATTTGACTTGAAGATTCTCATGCAAAGACACACAGCCTACCACCTCCGCCACGCCCAAGAACTCTCGAACATTTTCCTCCAAGATCCCGCAATCCGATACATGTGCTCATCACTCTCCGACCCAGAACGAATCGCATACATGCCCCGGTACTTCACCGTCCTGATGCGCGCCGCCATGCTGAACTCGGGCGTCTTCGAAGAATGCAACGACTGGTCATGCATGACCGTCTGGATGCCACCGGGGAAACGCATCGATAACGAACTCACAATTTTTCAAGCTGGATTCCTGGGCTCGATCCTCAGACTAGGGTTCGGTGGGGCGAAACGGATGTTGAGAGATTTCTCGGCGCAGGTGGAGAAGGTGAAGAAGAAGTGGAAGAAGGAATCGGGGATTCGGGAGTTTTGGTATTTATTTTTTGTGGGGACGAGGAAGGCGGATCGAGGGAAGGGGTTGGCGAGTGAGATGATTCGGAGGTGGCAGCGGAGGGAGGAAGTGGGGGGCAATTTTCCGATTTGGTTGGAGGCTACGACGGAGAGGAGTAGGGATTTGTATAAGAGGTTGGGGTTTAGGGAGTTGGAGGTTTTGGTTATGGGGAAGGGAACGCATGGTAGGGATGGGGCGGTGGAGAAGGGTGGTGAGGGTGTGAGGTTGTGGGCTATGGTTTGGATGCCGGAGAAGACCCAGAATTGAATCTGAGCAAGTATTGTCGCTAGGGCAGTGCTGGTGAGTCGCTTGCAACAAAAGCTAAGATTCTCAGGGTTCAGCCTTTCAGACATAGTTATGCAGGCGCATAGAGTGGCGGAGTGCTGTATCAGCAGCTATCAATGTCGCAGAGTGGCACTGGCGCGGTTGAATTGTTACATCGAGTAGTTTTCTCGCGCCCAGACTCACAGAAGTGACACTCGTGTTCAGCCGGTCTCTAAGTAGCAAAACCACGTTCTCGTCAGGTCTCATGAGCTCGACGGTATATGAATCATTCCGATCTCGACTTTTTCTCTCCATCTCAAAGCAAAATCATCACAAATTCAAAGCACACGACCTCCGCAACCACTACTCAACACATCCGATCAACCGATACCCTCGCACACATCATGCCTCATAAGTCCACCGCTACCGGAAGCATGCCAAAGAATGAGGACGAAGGGTCTATGGCCGACTACGAAGAGAGCAAGGCGTTTTTTCGGAAAGTCCAGGCAGCAGAGATTCAAAGAGATAGACTCGGTAAATGGACGGGCCTTCAGGGGGGAACTGGAAGAAGAGCCCTCACCAATGATCACCGTTTCGTGAGATCAACCAACAAACTCCCAGCTCTGCAGAGACCACAGTCTAAAATCTCAGAATCACAGCACTACTCCACGGCACATCAACCTTCACCACCCCATCATCACCAACCTCCACCGTCTCCCCTCTCGTCACATTCCCCAACATCACCGGCCGTCCCTCATCCAGCTCAAAATTATAACTATACCCATCAAACGTAATCCCAGAAATCGCATCACTTCCATTCGCCATCAATCTCTGCACTTCCACTTCCACTCCCACTCCCACCTCACACCCCTCCTCCCGAAAAATCTGAAACCTATACTCCTCACTCGGTCTCGGAAAATCGGTCCGAAACTCCTCATTATCATCCGTAGAATTATACGCCATCATATTGATCACCATCACCCTCTTCAACTCCGCCTGAGCACCATACGCAGCATAAGCCGCCTCCGCCTCCCTCGCAAGCGGCAAATTCACAACCCTGGTCTCCTCACTCCGCCCCAAAAACGCTGCGACTCCAATATTCCCATAATACGGAGCTTTCGTTCCTTTACTCGCGAGATCCGTGTCGATGGGTTGCCAGCTTTGATACCGGTAATTCGTACCCATATGCATGTGGACTCGGGAGATGTTGTTGGCTGCGCAGTAGAGGTTGAAATCTATGCCCCAGAGTGCGGCGCCGAAGGTGTTGGAGAGTCCCGGACGGCCTTGGTTGTAGAGGGAGTTTGTTTCGCCGAGGATGTAGGGGAGTTCGGGGTGGAGGGCGTGGATCAGGTTGCTGGAGTTGATGTGTTTTGCGATGGAGGTGATGGTGGAGGTGTGGTTCATTAGGGTGCCTTGGAGGGTTACGCCGGGGACTTTGGCGCCGGAGATGTAGCTGGTTACAGTCAGAGACTATGAAGAGGGTGGGAGAGATTTTTTTTTGTTGTGGACTTACTTGTGCGAGCTGATGATTGAGATGTCACCATCGGTATCCAGTCCAGCATTCCATGCTCTGAGAGGGTCCAGCTTGTTACCTCCTGTGCCTGCGAATGAGGGCGCCATGTACTTGTAACCAGCATCCGTCGCCAGTTCTGGACACGCCTTCTCCATTGCGGCGCGGATGTCTGCTGTGTATCCGAGCCATTCTGCTACATACTGCGACTCTGTCCAATCCCGCGGGCGCACGTGGCCAGGGAAGAGATCCGGCTCATTCCCTAGCTCCCACGACAGCAATCTGTCGTTGTTCTGAAAAGTCTGGCAGGCGAATGGAGCTGAGTCGATAAGTGCCTCTCGAGCATCACTGCTATTCTTGCCAAGATTGAATCCATGGGTATATCTGACATGTGGCCAAGTTGTGTAGGATTCGAAGTACGCAGGGCCGATGGTGAGGGTTGATGGGTAGTCAGCAGATACATCTGGATCGACAATGCCTATGGACGCCTCTTCTTGAGAGGCATTGAAGATGGCGAAATCTTGCGTGTTGCCTCCGACTCTCACATACGGCTTGGTGCCTTGGAAATCTTGTAGGTTGTTTAGCAGGTTATCGGAAAATGCGTTCGGGGCGGAAGAATTTCCAGCGAAATCCGGGAAGGATGAGAATTCGATGGAGAAGGAGACAAAGCCATCAAGCAAAACGCCAGCATCGTCAGGAGCAGAGCATTGCAGCGGTATATCCGTATTCTGGCGGGTGGAGAGTTGTACTGGGCTGGCCGTCACACTCGAGGCGGCAAGACCTAGCAATACAGAGGGCTTGCAAATCACCGGCATTTTCATATTTTAATAGATGCTGTTCCGGAAGAATACTATTAGTTCGATTTGGCCATGTTTGGCCGACCCCGGGTGGATTTATACTTTGTGTCGAACCAGCCCCGCATGCCATCCAAAGGGAAGACGCAATGAGATGCGCGTGATGCTCCATAGCAAAGATATTGATACTGCAGTGCGATCCTACCCTGTTCAAGTCGGTGTATGTGCCTGTCGATCACGGCGGAGTTCCGGCATCGATGAGAAGTGGAAGGCGGATGCCGAGTGTTCAACGGGGGTCTGATTCGGGGTAGAATGCAGCAATGCGCACGCGAGGGAGGTCATGAGCTCTCGTGGCAGATGCCGTCTCCGCTCCGTGCAACGAGGGACGTGCAGTATCAAAAATCCTCGCCGTGATACGTAGCACGCATGCCAGGCTTGGCCATGGTGTTTGGATGCGGGTTTGATTGGCCGGTTACGCGACGCGGGCGTGGGGCCGTGGGCGAGCACAAAATTCCGACTTCGAACGCCATCTCTTCCTCTTTTCTTCTTCGTGCGGCGCGTGTATCAAATCGTTTCCCCATATCATCATATGTTGCTCGTTCACCCTCCCCGTGGTAGAATCGGGTGTCGATGATCACGCAAGAAAGAAATCAATTGCTATCGCATTCTCACCACCCCGACTCGACAGCCTCTCCGGTGGCCCTGTTGGCGCGTGAGAAGCCGAACAAACCTCGCCTCGCGTAAATACAACATCTGCTTGCCGCACTCAGAGCTCGTGTCTGACCGGTCGCAGATGGCCTCTGATAGCCTCGAGCTGCTTGGTAGTGTATGCCATCTCAATCTCCCCCGCTGCGCCTTCCGCCTGTCGCCCCCTGATCCTCCCTCTGCTCGCTTGACAATCTTGCTTCCTCTGCAGCCACATCATGCCACGCCTGAACGTCGTTGCCCTCATCTCTGGCGGCAAAGATTCTTTCTTCTCAATCCTTCACTGCCAGGCGAATGGTCACAAGGTAGTAGCGCTCGCAAATTTGCATCCACCGGTCCATGATCAAAACGAGCAAACAGAGGATTTGGAAAGCTTCATGTACCAGACCATTGGACACAAGGTGATACCATGCTACGAACACGCGCTCGGCCTTCCACTTTATCGACAGGAAATCGATGGCGGAGCAAAATACAAGAGCAAAGATTACGCCGCCGATTACAGCCAAGACGAGACTGAGTCCCTCGTTCCGCTATTGCAGAAAGTTATCGCCGCGCATCCCGAAGTAAATGGTGTCAGTACTGGGGCCATTCTGTCGGATTATCAGAGGACGCGTGTCGAATCTGTGGCGCTTCGCCTGCGTCTCACGCCTCTCTCATACCTATGGCAGTGGCCGTTCTTGCCACCCGGCTCGCAAAGCTCGCTCCTCGAGGACATGGCGGCAGTCGGACAAGATGCTAGAATCATCAAAGTCGCATCGGGCGGACTTGACGAAACCTTTCTCTGGCAAAACGTCGCTGACCCACGTACTATTGCGCGCTTAAAGAAGGCTTCTCAAAGATTTGGCTCTGCAGATGACGGCGCTGTTCTTGGAGAAGGCGGCGAGTACGAAACTCTTGCAATAGCCGGTCCTCCTCCGCTCTGGAAGGGTCGTATTTCGGTGCCTCAGGACTGCATCAAAGTTGTGCCTGGTGAAGCTGGCAGCGCATCCTTGCAGATCACTACTTCTCATGTCGAGCTCTACGGTGAAGATGAGCTCAGGCAGTTGCCGACAGCACCAAGAGCCCCTCCGTTATTCGACATTCGCTTCGAACAGCTGCGATCCGCAATGGTATCCGCGAACGACCCAGAAGCAAGCGTGAACACTGGCAACATTCTGGAGCAATGCCATGACGAAGACAGCTCCGTCAAGCTCTTCGAGAACATCACTGGGGCAGGCGCGACTCCAGAAGAGCAAACACGATCAATTATGGAACGAATCAGAGCAGAGCTGCCGGGTGACATGTCTGAGACTACTTATTCAATCATTGTCCTTCGCAATATGTCTGACTTTGCCGCTGTCAATGCGGTCTATGGTGGCTATTTCACAAGACCGAATCCTCCTGCCCGACTTACGATTGCGTGTGCGGACGTATTGCCCGCCGAAGCTCTATTATCCATCAGTATCGCTGTAGCTCCTGGCCGAAGACAAGGCTTGCACGTTCAGTCCCGCTCCTATTGGGCACCGGCCAACATTGGACCATACTCTCAAGCCATCAAGCAGACTATGCAAGATGGAGATGGTGCAAGCCGGGAGTCAGTTTACATCGCAGGTCAGATCCCGCTTGTACCAGCAAGTATGGTGCTTCCCTTGGAACACGACACCGACAGCTTCATTCTACAGAGCGTGCTTGCTTTGCAGCACCTGGACCGTATCGGGCGTGTAATGCACGTCAAGCGTTGGACCTTTGGAATCGCATTCCTTGCCTCCGAGGGCATTAGCCACAACATTTTGTCAAACAGGGCAGACACCGCGCAGCGGGCATGGGCTGGCTATCAGCGGAAACTCAATACGAGTACGACCGATGTCGACGAATCTGAAGATGAGAGCTTCGATGTCTGGCATCTCACTCATGGCTCAGGGAAACCTTGGCAATCTCGTATGCATACTAATCCACCAGAAGGAATCAGGGCCGATCAGGGATCTGCTGGCGTGATGCCGCCTTTGCTGGTGATTACAGCCGACTGTCTTCCGCTTAACTCTGATATTGAGTGGATCGGCTTCGGAAGCAGTCATGCGACCGACGACATGGGTGTTCCATCTCATCTTCGAGGTCTTGTGAAGATCTTTCGACATCGGGTCTTGCCGACAAGTACGAATACGTAGGGCCACGCTGCGGTTGTACATGTTGCCATGTGTTTCGGATCTGACTGCTCGGTAATGCTTCTGCCGATCGCGGGGAGAGCGGGAGCGGAGCAGCCCCTCCCCTCCATCCCACCCCACCATGAAGGCGAATGCGGCTGACCTGTACCCCGCTGCGGGTCGATACTCATATCGTGGCCACACGACAGAATGCACGTCGTAACTTATAAGTGCTTCTAGTCAAGCGGAACGAGTCAATTGTGCAACTCGCGGAACAAATGCCATTGCTGGTAGGCCGACTCTTGCACGTTTTCCGATCCTTTCAACGCACATGGACGCCTCGCCCTGGTCGATCTTCCTGATTATGGCCATGGATTGGTTCGAGAGTGTCTGATGCAGGCTTCTAAGCATCTGTGTGTGATCACGCCCGGATGTAGCTCTCGCCGGCACGCTAATGTTGCATTGGAGGGAAGGAACGACCTGCTGATGCAGATGCAGCAGGCACAATAAAAACATTTCTTGCTCACGTTTCTTCCCCATCTTTCATCTTTCACTTACGACGCACAACACTCCGATCATGGCGCCAGATCTCAATGCCATTGCCGCAGGTGAGAAATTCGACTATTCCCAACCAGGGTCGTCCGGCTACTCCATCAATCAGAACTATACGTACAGTAAGATCAGGCCAAGCCCTTACAACACCGTCGCTTGCTGACTATCATGAACAGATGATCCGAACAACAGAAAGATCAAGATCCTCACAATCGGAGCCGGCGTCAGCGGCATTTTGATGGCATACCGCATCCAGAAGGACGCACAGAATGTCGAGCACGTCGTCTACGAGAAAAATCAAGATATGTATGAGAGTCAGATACGTTGGCTATTTGCGCGGTCTGTTAACAGGTCCACGATTACAGTGGAGGCACATGGCTAGAGAACAGGTAAAATATGCATCGTGTCAGCAGTAGGAGCCATGCTGACTTTAACCAAGATACCCAGGATGTGCGTGCGACATTCCAAGTCATGTACGATGATGCCCGGAGAAGCAATTTTGACTGTTTACTGATCAATGCACTTCGTCGATCTAGGCCTATTCCTACCAGTTCGCGCTCAACCCCGACTGGCCTCGATTCTTTTCCTATGCTCCTGACATCTGGAAGTATCTTGACAAAGTCTGCAACACTTTCGATCTGCGGAAGTACATGACATTCAACACAGAAGTCATCGGAGCCTACTGGAATGAAGAGGATGGAGAATGGACCGTCAAGCTCCGGCAGACTGCACCAGGACAGCAGCCAAGAGAATTTGAAGAGACATGCCACCTCTTGCTGCACGGCACTGGCATTCTGAACAATTTCAAGTGGCCCGACATTCCAGGCTTGAAGGACAAGTTCAAAGGCAAAGTCATGCATACCGCTCGCTGGCCGCACGACTATCAAGCCGAGCAGTGGAAGGACGATCGCGTGGCAGTAATCGGTTCTGGAGCGTCGTCTATTCAGACCGTCCCGACCATGCAGCCCCACGCGAAGCATCTTGACGTCTTCGTTCGCACGGGAGTCTGGTTCGTTCAGATCGCTAACAACTTCGGACAGAACAAGGAGTATGACCAGGCCGAGAGGGACGAGTTCAGAAACAACCCCAAAGCACTCGTAGCGCATGCCAAGGATATCGAAGATCAGGTCAACGGTCTTTGGGGCACCTTCTACTCTGGCAGTGAGACGCAGAAGATGGCCACGGAAATGTTCCGACAAAGAATGAGCGAATTCATCAAGGATAAGAGGCTTCTGGAAGGCTTTACTCCCAACTTCGGACTTGGTTGTAGGCGTGTCACGCCCGGCGATCCTTACATGCTTGCGATTCAAGAGCCGAATGTCGACGTGCATTTCACCGCTGTTAAGGAATGTACTGAAGACGGTGTCATTGGTGAAGACGGACAGGAGAGGAAAGTCGATACAATCGTCTGCGCCACAGGCTTCGACGTCTCATATCGTCCAAGATTCCCAATCGTGGGTAAAGGAGGAATAGACCTGAAGGTAAGTCCAGTCATCCATCTCACATCTCTATCCACCACAAATACCTAACCCATCTATCCCAGGACAAATGGTCCAAATGCCCCGAATCCTACCTAGGCCTCGCCATCCCGGATTTCCCCAACTTCCTCACCTTCATCGGCCCAACCTGGCCGGTGGAAAACGGCTCCGTGATCGGCCCCCTCCACACCGTCTCCTCCTACGCCCTCCAAATCATCAAAAAAATGCAAAACGAAAACATAAAATCCTGGAGCCCGAAACAAGACATCACCGATCACTTCAACGCCCACGTGCAAGAATGGATCAAACACACCGTGTGGAAAGACGATTGCCGAAGTTGGTACAAAAACAACGAAACCGGTCGCGTGAATGCCGTGTGGCCGGGGAGTTCGATGCATTATCAGCAGGTGATTGAGCATGTGAGGTGGGAGGATATGGAGATTGGGAGGTGGGGAGGGCCAGGGAAGAATTTTTGGGAGTTTTTGGGCATGGGGTGGACGGTGGAGAATCGGAGGGGGGTGAGGAGTGAACAGAATCCTGGGGGCGCGGATTGTAGTCCGTATTTGTGTTTGGAGCATTTGGATCCGAAGTGGGTTTTGGCGAGTGGGGGGAGTGAGGAGGTTTTGAGGCAGCAGATTGAGGAGGAGAGGAGGAGGGGGAAGGGGAGTCGGCTTGTGGAATGAAAGCGGGGATGTGGTGTGGTTGTACTGGTATCAATGTTGGCCCTGATCAATTCGGATGAGCTGATGATGGCATGCTAGTCTCTAAATCATGCTTCTGCTCAGTGGTATGTATGTACCCCCGTCGTGCTGCTTGTGCGGGAGACGGGACCTGAGGTATCGATGTCGGTGGACTTCTCATTACCAGCAAAGCCCTCGTTGATCTCTATTATGTGTCTGGGGGGGGGGGGGGGGGTCTTGCTAGAACGTCTCGTGGAGATCCCGAGTCTTTCAACTGGCATTCGCATTCACATATCCATCACCATTCCTCTCCGCATTCCCATCTTCCATATCAGCGTCCTTACCATCTCCTACCCCACGGTTCCCTATCCCCTTAAACAACTTAAATGCAGATCTCAAAACTCCCGGGGGTGGCATTGTCCCATGCACCATCAACATGCAAAAACCTTCGATCCCATTATGCTAACTTACTGCTGCTTAAGTATACTATAGTCCTCGCCAGCGATCGTCTCCTCTGCCGGCCGATTCTGAAGGTCTCCACACGCGCTGAAGCTGTTGACACTATAGCACTGCGCCTCGTAGGAGGCTTGAGTAACGAGCAGATTAGCGGTAGTCTTCTTCGCAGCCTCTTCCCAAGTATCTAGGTAATCCTTAAGCTCCTCCTTAGTAAGTAAACTAGAGGATCTATTTAACCTCGTTCTGAACGATATAGCTTGACTAAGGAATGCGACCGACCAAGGCGTTAGAGATGCAGCCAAGGCCCTCAACTGGGAAAGCGTATGGGACGAAGGAACCTGAGCCTGGAATGGCAGTGAGGTTGCTATACCTCTAGCCGAACGAAATACCCTTTCAGCCCAGCCGTAGCGAGCGCATTTCTTCGGACCATTCTGATTCGGGCATTCCTTCCATTCGTCCAAGACTCGATAGCGCGGGTCATGTTTTTTCGAGAGAATGGACTCGTATGTCTTTTGATGCCTTTACGAGTTTCGGATATTCGAATTTGCGGCGAGAGATGTTGTACTCTTCTGCTGAGATGTCTTTGGGGTGGTTGGTTTTGTGGGCTTCGCCGTTGGGTTTGAGGCAGGGAGTGGGACATTGTGTCTTGGAGGAGGATTTGGAGGCTTGCTGAACGAGGAAAATTATGATTCCATATCTGGGCAGTGATGTTCTTGAAGAGATTCACGGGCCAGATAGCATAGCTCAGTTCATCGAAAGTCATCGTACAGCTCTATGTATCGTTTAGGATATGCATCAACTCCCAAGCTCCTGCGCTAAGCAAAATTCAAGCCACTGTGCATACATCCCATCACAGAACATTTGCATATGGCACATCCCAAGCCCAAACCTGTCTCAATCGCGTGAATTCTTCTGCTGGTGTCAAGCCGGCAACTTGTCGCTGAGCCTTGTACAAGATGCCATACGCGTGTTCTTGTGCCAGTCTGTCGGTGAGAAGGTGTCCGGCGTACGAGACTGCCAAGGTTGATATGAAAGGAATAGCAGAGTCCGCATGGCTCATGGCGGTGCCAAGGATCTTCCTCGTTAGAACCAGTGTCTCGTCCTGTTCCTCATCATTAGCATTGTTTCGGGTGCTTGTCTCGGACGTTCGTTTCATACCTCGATCTGCTGCTGTGTTAACGGCACGATAACGCTCAGATGGGTAGGAGGCGGCGTGGTGGGCTGATTGTTCAGGAGTAATATCCTCGCCAGCGAGAAGGTCTGATGACTGAATGCTGCATGCCAAGTCAGCCAATGTTTCCTAGAGATACTTGGCATCTGTGCTTTCGGGTGGTCTTACCATATAGATTCGTAGCAAATAGCCTCTTTGGGAATGGGTCGCCCTCCATGAGTGGTTCTGCGTATATTGGATTGAAGTATTTAGGTTTCGAGAGCCGCCATTCGTCAGAGATTCTCTTGTATTCCAACCATCTCTCCCAAGTCTTTGGCCTGTTACCATATGCATAGTTCAGACACCTCGCAGTTTGCAGTGTTATCTTGCAATTCTCTATCCTGGCTTCGCCGCCAGATGCAGCCAGGGCATCACACATCCAATGAGCAGATTCATCTGCTTCTGGCAAAGGCGTCTTTTCCACCCAGGCGACGTGTATATAAAGCCGGAGCACATTCAAGAAGATCGATGCGTGCAAGCTGGACTCCGAATTGGCCTTCCAAGCTGCCATGAAAACGTCGAGACCCAAGAAGATATTGCCACTGGCGCCGACCTCCTTCGGATCAGTCATCGACATGACGAGGCGTAAAATGAGGACCGCCGCCAGATTTTCACATTCGAAAGCTCTATTCTGGAGCTCCGGAATGAGTACATTATAGCACGCGTCGATGTATCGAAGGCAGACCGATTCTGCCAGTGTTCCCATCAGCGAGAGATGTTTTGCAGAGACGGCATAGATTGCGTTCAAGAGCGCAGTGGAATTCGATGCCAGCTGTGGTATTGTTTCGGTGAAGTGGGAAGTGCCGTCCACTGATTCAAACCACGCTGAGAGCTCCCGTGTAAAGTGCCTCATGAGCAGCGCTTCCTGGTAGTTGTGAAATGGCCATTGGACGCCGCAAGTAGTCGAGGGCAGGGGGCTTGGGGTCCGAGTTGCGACGGTGTCGTTGAGATGGAGTCTCTTCCAGAATGCATGCACAGTAATTTCGCATGTTTCCTGAAAGAGCGGTTCAAGTGGAAACCTTGACTGGCTGGAGTTCGCAGTGCTTGCGCTCGCAACGCTAAAATTTCCAGGAGACCGTGCTCCCTTCGAACAGCTCGATGAAGTGCTTGTGGATGCACATGCTGGGTTTGTAGAAGTGCACGCCTCTTCGCCGCTCGAACGGGAGGCAGCTCCAGAATTGGCAAATCTCACTGTGTTGATGTCAGGCCCATGAGACGCACGATCAAGCATGCCACATGCAAAAGCAGGGATTGTGACACGATACTCCTCATCAGGCTCTTACCAGACGGCAAGTCCATCCACGTTTGGTCTCCATCGAATTGGAGATCGTACCGTTTTCTACGGCGGACAATGCCACGATTGGACTCGTTTAAGAAGAGGACGTTATCGTCTTTACTGCATGGTCTTGCGCCGCGCCGACAGTGCATGCAAGGCTGTTCTCCATCGCATTTGAGGTGTCTCGAACTGCACTGGTGACTGGTTCTTGTTAGAGTGGCAGGATCAGTGGAATGGAGGCAGGGCTGGCGACTTGCCATGACTTCTGTTTTCTGCGAGCCATGATCTCTTGGCAAGAAAGTCGATCGCTAGAACTGTTGTGCACTCGGTAAGCAGGGCGAGATTACTGTAGCCGAGCGACTTCATGTGGTCATTATATCAGGTGGCCATGTTTCCATACGGTGTGCATAGATATTTATGACCAAGCACCGTTCCAACAAACTTCCAATGGCTTGACACCGGTCCGATCTCGAACGGCAACGCTCTGCACGTGAACATGGAGGACCATGGCTTGGAGCTGACAGGTTTGGGGAGTAGTGATACGAGGTCCGCACGCCCGCATTGATACCGCCGATACCTAATCAGGTAGCTTCGAGCATATAACACTGACGTCGAGGTGCACAAACCGGTCCTCGGCCGGCAGCTGAAGCCCCACGCCATGCCTAAGCAGATGGGCAACCAGCGAGAAAGTCTCCTTATGCGTATCACCTTCCGGATTCAGCTCGCGGTCTCTCAGAGCTGTGTGGATTTAGCAGCATAAGTCATCACCTGAACGCCCGCTTACCACGCAGGTAGCGCCTCGTATGAATTGAGATATGCAGAAGAAATCTTAAAGCCGGCACTCTCCGACTGAATCCGTACACCTGCACAAGGCAGCTACTGCGGTCGCTCCGTCGATTCGCTCCATCACAGCTGATCTTCAGCCTCACCGGCTCGCTGAAAGCACAACATGAATCGAATGTTGCTCGCCGGTTTGTTGGGTTGGCCATTGCCCTCGACTTCACGGTGTAAAGAAGCCAACGGCACCCAAAGCCCTCCTCGTATCGTCTTTCTCCACTAGCACAGACGGTTTTCGTCGTCATGGAGCCTCTCACCATGTCAGACATGGCGGGCTCTCGATTCGAAAATGCTTTACGGCAGTGTTGTTTTTTGCGTTGTTCATAATGAAGAAAGAAAGGTCTTCGCACGAAATGGCAGAAATTGAAGAAGCCGCACTGGCGCTAGGGACGGGTCGATCCGCCAAAATCCTTGTCGCGTCGCGTCGCGGTCGCGATTGCCAGAGGCTGGGAACGCGTTCTTTCCCAGCGCTCCCACTTTGCACTCAAACGCAGCGACACCACCAACAAAGCCGATTTGAAATATACCCTTCTCGCCGCAGGATACTCGATCACTGGAATACATACTGTATCCGTCTGCGATATAGTGCTGCTCAGTAGACTTCGTGCGCCTCGGCCAAAGCGCTTGTCTCCTGACAATGGCTCTTCTACAGTACAAGAACTTGGTCAATTACGAAGAACAGACGGGTATGCGACTTCGTCGCACGGACAATGCTCATATGCTAACATGTCTCAGCCGCATTCAAAGACTTCTTGCAGAACTTCAAGTCATCTTCCACTGAAGCAGAAGATGGCCTGGAAGACTTGCGCTTGGACGGAGATGCCACGAGTGATGAGTACGACTTTATGGACGACGTAGACAATGGTGCGGCGAGCAGGCGGCGAACTCGATCAAAAGCAAAATATATGAACATGCTGCAAGATGTTGCAGATCGTAAGAGCAGCCAAATTCTGGTTGATCTCGATGATCTCCAAGAATACGAGCGGGCTCTGGACAATGATGGAGGATCGACTCTGAACCTCGTCTCCTCCATCGAACGGAATGCGCACCACTATATCGAGATACTGTCTCGAGCAGTCGACGAGTGCCTGCCCAGACCCGAGCAGGAACCGAGTTTCAAGGATGATGTGCTTGACATCATCATGAGCCAGCGGTCGAAACGAAACGAGGCCGTCATCGCACAGCAGGAAGCCAATGTAGAGGACGGCATCCCTGAGTCAATCTTTCCTCCAGAGCTAACTCGAAGATACACACTCAACTTCAAGCCAATCACACCATCAGGGTCCAGCAGTCAGAAAGGCGGCAAGGCGTTAGCTGTACGGCAGGTTCGTGGCGAGCATCTTGGCCATCTGATCACCATTCGTGGTATCGCGACCAGAGTGTCAGACGTAAAGCCATCTGTGCAGGTCAACGCATACTCTTGTGATCGCTGCGGTCATGAGATATTTCAGCCTATCACCTCTAAATCATTCACTCCTCTGGTTGAGTGCACGTCGCCGGATTGTCAAGAGAACAAAGCCAAGGGTACACTGTTCCTATCCACGCGAGCATCGAAGTTCTTACCATTTCAAGAGGTCAAGATACAAGAGATGGCTGATCAGGTTCCCGTGGGTCACATTCCTCGACAGCTGACAATCCACTGCCATGGTGAATTGGTTCGACAAGTGAACCCAGGAGACGTTGTCGATATTGCAGGTATCTTCTTGCCCACGCCATATACTGGTTTCAAGGCAATCAGAGCTGGCCTGCTCACAGACACATATCTCGAGGCACAGTACGTCCACCAGCACAAAAAGGCCTATGATGATATGGTACTGGCACCCACCACAATCCGAAGGATGACTGAGCTTGAACGCTCCGGCCAATTGTACGAGTATCTCAGTCGCTCGATTGCACCAGAGATCTTTGGCCATCTGGACGTCAAGAAGGCGTTGCTTCTGCAACTGATTGGCGGCGTCACGAAGGAGATGGGCGATGGTATGCGCATTCGTGGTGATATCAATGTGTGTCTGATGGGCGACCCCGGTGTTGCAAAGTCGCAATTGCTGAAGTACATCACCAAAGTCGCTCCTCGCGGAGTCTACACTACCGGACGGGGAAGCAGTGGTGTCGGTCTGACTGCGGCAGTCATGCGTGATCCGGTCACTGACGAGATGGTGCTTGAGGGCGGCGCACTGGTTCTAGCAGACAACGGAACATGCTGTATCGACGAATTCGACAAGATGGACGATGCAGACCGAACAGCAATTCACGAAGTTATGGAACAGCAGACAATATCGATTTCGAAGGCCGGTATCACGACAACGCTGAATGCGAGAACGTCGATTCTGGCCGCCGCCAACCCATTGTACGGGCGCTATAACCCGCGCATCTCACCCGTGGAGAACATTAACTTGCCCGCCGCACTGCTCAGCAGATTCGATGTCCTATTCCTGTTGCTCGACACGCCATCTCGCGATGCTGACGAGGAGCTCGCCCGCCACGTTACCCATGTGCACATTCACAATGCGCATCCAGAGCCTCAGGGGGGAGGTCTTATATTCTCACCCAATGAGGTGCGACAGTGGGTGGCTCGCGCTCGATCTTTCCGCCCAGTGGTTCCCAAAGCTGTGTCAGACTACCTGGTGGGGGCCTACGTGCGGCTCAGACAGCAACAAAAGCGTGACGAGGCTGGGAAGAAGACATTTACTCACACTTCCCCACGAACGCTGTTAGGTATCCTTCGTTTGTCCCAAGCCCTGGCACGTCTCCGATTCGCTGAGGAGGTCATCACCGAAGATGTCGATGAGTCCCTCAGGCTGATCGAAGTCAGCAAGGCAAGCTTGTACGACGATAACAGAGACCGAAGAGGAGATCAGTCTGCCAGCACCAAGATCTTCAACCTCATTCGTGGAATGAAGGAGAGTGGAGCTGCAGCCACCGGCGAGGGTAGTGGTGAGCTCGATATGAGACGAGTACGAGAGCGAGTGTTGGCCAAAGGCTTTACCGCCCAGCAACTCGAGACGGCTATTGACGAATATGCAACGATAGATGTAAGTCATACCCGGATATTGGTCACTGATCAGAAGACGCTGACGCTGTGCAACAGATCTGGCAGACTGCCGCGGAAGGAACCAGGCTCGTATTCATCGAAGCCGGCGAGGAAGATGCGGATATGGGTGACGAGGACTTTTAATCAGGCAGGCGCCATGGTAGCCACATCTGAGGTGTTCGGCGTTGATCGATCTGGATGGATACCGTTGAAAGTCGCGTGGAGTTCTGTTGTCGGCATTAGCGAAGGGTAAAGAGGCCGCCCGCCGGTCCTAGTATAACACCAGTCTATTGGATGAGTGAGTTGCAACTTGACATTGTGCATGCACGAGTCCTGCGGCATTCTCCATTATTATGTGCTCTTCGGCCAGTGCGATGTGATCTCCAAACCGCCCATGCAAGCCACGTGCATAGCATAGCATAATTAGAGTTTGTGGCGATCGTCATCTTTCGACCAATCAGCAGACATGTTGCGCAAAGAGAAGGCGACTCCGAAATCCTTCCACTTTTCGTCGCGCTTTTCCCGAAGCTCCAAACTTCATCTCTCACACGCGAGAATAGTACGTACGGTACAGTCATCTTCTGCCGTGCTTGGATTTCTTCCAGCCTCGTGGACGATCCGGCAAGCGATGCCTGTCGCGAAACTGTTTACTCTAACGCCTCGGGGCTGTGCTGAGATACATACTCACGGCGTGAGTAGTAAGCAGTGTGCGCTCCATGCCAGCCGACGCACACTTTTTTCGTTTTCTTCGTGCTATCGTTCACGCTCGCGGATACTACTGTACGACTCGAGCGGACCGGAATGGGAATGCGAAGTGCAGTGCAGTGGCTGGCCTCACGAAGGAGTGAGATATACACCGAAACGTGGCTTTGCGGTTCTACAGCGTAACAGTACCAGGCAGGCACGATTCCTTTTGCTCACTCATCATCCTTCCAGACGCGTACTGGATCTTGTTTCAGCCTCATCTGGGGTCTAATCTCTGCCAGATTCCATCCTTCGCTCACACGCTGACATCGGGCAGGCTGGTTCTCGCTCTCGGCTGTGAGCGATGATGATGCACGGCTTGACCCGATTGATTTCATTCTTTCGTCAGAACTCGTCGGCCGGAATTCTCTCGTACTACCGACTGTCTGCTTTGGTATATCTGTTCCAACAGGATCTGCTAAGCCTGGTGCCTTGCACCGACCGGCGCCGTGACCGCGTCCCTGCAGGACACCTCATTTGTCGGTGTCACTGCTTCGCTACTTCGGATCAGATCCGCTTTCTCTCATTCGCCCGTGCATTGGACACCATCTATTTCCCATTCTGTTGACATTTTGTCCTAATCCCATGCAGTCACCCACGCTACTTTTGAGGCCTGTCTTGACCTAGTCATATCCCGTCATCTGGGCTAACATGGCAGTCCGTCGTGGGCCTCCAGTTCAAGACCGTAGGATTAACCTGATCCTCCGACCATCGAGAAGTATCTGCATCCTTTGTGGTCCCTTCTCTATATGGGACCTGCATCGCCCTGTGAAGATGCACCAACATTTCCTTGAATGGGCTTCTGGAACGTCTAAGCCATTGCTTCGAACACGATTCTCTAGCACAGCACTGGATGTTGATGCAGCCTTATATTCTTGGCGGACACTTCACTCCTTATCCGCATTTTCTTTGTATAATAGATGTACTCGTCAACAGCAAATCCGGGTTATCAAGGATCGAGAAGTGTAACATATCCTAATTCGCAGCCACCGCAACACTCGCAGAACGCACGCTGCTGGTCGCCGAGCCGAGATTGGAGGGAAAGCGTGACATGCGAGCGAGCAGACTCCGTCATAGGCCTGACAGCCATGTCACAGCAGGAGGCAAGCGGGAGTCGTTCTTCCACGGCAGCGGCAAGTTCTTCAGCAGAGGATGACTGGAGCTCGGTCACGGACCCGAGCGAGAGGAGGAAAATCCAAAATCGCATTGCTCAGCGCAAATTCAGTGAGCTGTGCCTTTGCTGTGCTGTGGCAGGGGAAAAGCTGAAGTGAAGCACTAACATGATGCAGGGGAGAAGATGCGCCAACAACAAGAGGATCGAGAACGACAGATAGAGAACGAGCGGCGGGCCAAGGGCGCGTATACTGCTCCAGAGCCGGGTGATGTTGACGACTTGGGGGAATCTGGTATTCCTTGGGGTAGCTTTTCTTTGCGACATGTCATCGCGAGAGGCAGGCAGAAAGAGCAGAGCTCAAGAGAGACATCGCCCCACGCGGCTGCATCGAGAACAGGCGGCAGTTCGAGGTAAGGCCGATGAGGCATCAGACTCGCGGTGAGTCGGAGGCAGCAGCGTGGGTCATACTGAGTGCGAGCTGACAGTTTCTAGGGTCGGCCTCCAGCTCATTGATGAGTACGCCAGAGGCTCTCCTGCCTGGGCAGCATGGAGGGACCGAGTTGGCTTGGGAGAGCAGCGGCCTCCGCCCGATGCGATTCCACGATCGAATGAGCAGCGGATATGAATGACGAGTACGACGGGCAAGAAGATGACGAGAGATGTGGGCTGCTGGACAGCCTAATGTAATACATTGCTGCAACAGCGAGGCGTGTGGCGTTGGTATGGGCCAGCTTGCATCGTCCGCACGAGCCTCGAGGTTGGTCGCTCCGATACAATCAGGAGCATGGATGATATGGGATGTGCCGATCACAGCAGGCCTCTCGATGATATTCTAGCGTTTTGGCGTTCCCAGCTTACAGCACAGGATTGTAGTATCATGGTACTTTCCTCTCGTGCGACCGAGCTGCTTGCAGCTGCACTGAGCATGTTTCGATGAGCTGGCGCATCGGCAGATGTCGCAAGAGCTTTATTCGGAAAGTAACAGCTTACCGCACAGGATTGTAAACTCCTCACAGACTCACATACTGCTGTCAGCCTTCGGTGCATGACGCGCGTCGATAGCAGTACTCTTCAGTACGCCCACGATTGGCGGATGGCCCGCTTCCTTCTCGCTCAAGCTGCTCGATGTGTGCCTGTCTGTAGCTTGTTCAGTGGCCTCATGTGCATGCTGGGATAGACCTGTCTGCTGTGCCTCCAGCACATGCCAATACCAGTGCCGCACACGGTAATATGCTTGCAGTTGGCCTCGAAGGAGGCAGCAAACAAGAGGTGAGGTCGGTTCTGTATTCTATGGATCGAAGCGCGGCGCAGAGCATTGTTGTTGGTGTTGGCTGCAGCGCCTCGAGCCACTGCTGCGGCGCTGCCACTGCCACTGCCACTGCCACTGCCACTCAGCTGCCTAGCGCCGTTTTTGCGCCTCGCCAAGCCGTTCGGCTACTTCGGCTTCGACCCGGCTACCCACCGGACCCGCCGAAATTTCACATGCGCGCCACGGCCATTCCCATCCATAGCCATATGCTGCCATTTTGGGGTGCGCAGTTTCCGGCCAGACGACGACGGAATCTCCAGTATGGGAGCGCGCAGGATTGCCTCCGGCTTCTCTCTCCCGGAACAGTACCACGAAGCCGTGCCCGCGAAGCTTTTGTCTAGATCAACCTTGGGCTCCACCAGCATACCTGGCTGCATGAGCTTTCTGTCACGAGTAGTAACCTTAAGATCACCTGCCGTGAAACGATAGGGTGGCCATTCTCGTTTTCTTTGATATACCGGCGTTGTCCTGTCCTGCGATGGAGCCACGACGGTCCTGTGAGGCGCATTGCTGTCGCTCTGGCGGGGCGGGTACCCATATGCTGCCCCATATGGGCCTCTCGCGGACACGGCCAACACGCACACAGCGCCGCTTTCCGCCGCCGCACCAGCACCAGACGGCGATGCTTTCGCGAAGCTGCTGCACACCTCTGCTGCTGCTGCTGTGAGCCATTCGTGATCCAAGACTACCGCGCACTGCCTACCTAACGCTCTTGCTTGCGTGCGTGCGGCATCGCGGAAGCCTGTGATGCGATGCGTGAAAACGTGGCGTAACGTGTGTGTCCCATGAGCCCCCACCTCCCTCGATTCGCTGGTAGCGGTAGCGTTATGGTCCATCCATTGTTATTTGGCCTGGGCATGAGTGGTTGCCATGTCTCCTCTCCTTCCTCGCCCGACACCTGCCGCTTCTTCGCCCGCCTTCCACATTGCCGCCCCTCCAACATCGATGTTCGAGCGCTGTGCCGGAACACGATCAACCTCCAGGCGTCAGCTGCCTGCCTGCCTTGCGGCGTAGCACATGCGTCCATGTGAATAAAAGGTCCGCGACCGAGCAGACAACATGTCTTCCACCACATCAGCATCCTTCATAGACTCTGCTGCAAGCCCCAGCACGACTTACCCTATGAGCCGCCCTTCGAGTGTCGGGACTGCCGATCTGGGCAGGCTGGCGCTTACTGGTCGCGAATCAAGCAGCGGTAGCGATATGCCTGCTACTACACGAGGAGCGGCAAAGAGAGAAGCTGCGAATCCCAAACAAAGCTCCTCCCAAGCGGCTGGCAAGTCCGATAAGGGGAAACAGAGAGCTGCAGCCTCGTCTTCCAAGCCAACTCGACAGCAGCCTCGGCGTCTCTCCAAGACGACAAGCACCCAGCGACCAAAGCCGGACGACGACGACGATGATAGCGACGACAGCGATGAGGATGATGACGAGGGCGGAGGCGGAGGCGGAGGCTCTCCAGCTGCTCCTGATCCACGGCAGGCAATCTCTCGCATGGTGCTGCAGACCCACCTGCCATTCGAACCGAGCCAGCACTCGTTCACTGAGCTCGCCTCGCCAAATTTGCCCGGTCGCAACGAAGCCAGGCGAGTCACATCGTGCACGCATTTGACCAAGGGCTTGCTACTGACGATTCACAGTACACTGTTCAGAGCGATGGTTGTAGCGAACTCCCAACTGGTCCGCACTCAGGCCGACGCGGCCGCCCTCAACCAAGCCGTGACCGTGCAAGGCCCAGAGTGGTCGCGTCAAATGGTGTCACAGATGCGGCTGAGGTGGAAGAACATCCACCAAGACTACTACATCTACGGAAACGGCGGACAAGGCGAAGACGCCAGCGGCACCATACGAAAAATCAGGGCACTCTTCGTCGCTGTCGAAGACACGATTCGCAACTTCCCCGACATGAGCAACGGCTCCCACTTGCGGCTGATCGAAATCCTCGTCACCGTGTTTGAGTACATCTCCCAGCTCCACCACGATGTTCGACCTGCTGGAGCAGCGCTCGCATTCGCGGGCGGAGCCAGCCAGTACGAGCACAACCTCTGGCTCCAGTTCGCTACCATTAGCGGGAACTGGCAGCCGTGTCTTGAGGTGATGAGGCGCCTCGGACAGCTGAACTGTTCGGGCCACTTCAGGCAGAAGGAAGCGGCGTGGAAATCAATCTGGGCCTTTCTTCGCAATCTTCACGCGACGTGGAAACCCCAGGAGGTCTCGAACTTCATGATCGGACTTCGACAAAGGCTGGCAGGAATGGGCGGTGTGTTCGACGACTTCGCTGCGACCAATGCTCGTGCTGACTTCGTTTACAGTATCGATTGAGTGATCAAAACTCGTCCCCTCATTTTTCAAAGACATCCCGCGAGCAGTTTGGCATTTCTGAGACAGATCGGCACGGGGCGTGGCATTGTGACGGCGCAATGGTTCTTGGGTTCGGCAGGAAGTTTGGTTCGGGTGGTAGGTCTGCAGCATTTGGTAATACCCCAAGGAGGAGCGTTGTGTCGTTCACTACTGGCTCTGGCATCGTGTTCAACCCTCAGTGCCGCCAAGAAAGGCGAGCTCTTCATTTCTGCCCTTCGTTCAAACATCATTAGAATATCATAGATTTATCAAGAACGGATTTGAGCACGGCATTTTGAAGTTCGAACGCGAGAACACTTTGTATTTGCATAATAAACCGGCGGGCACCGCAAGACCAGTTTGACTTTCAGCCGTGACTGACCGATCCCATGGTTCGCAACACATGGCTCCCGGACGACTCCTCACTCCTACACCAACAACCCTCCATGTTACATCAGTCGCGATTCATGGGGTGTGAATAATCTTCTCACAGCTTCCCCTCTTCGTGCGTGGCTTTGCTGGCATCGGCTTGCGCGAAGCTTTTGAACGCCGTTGACATTTTTGTTGCTGCCCAATATGGCAAGCCAACCTAGAGTTCGACCGTCGCAAGTCACTAGGTCGCCTTAACGTTAGGTCGCTGCGATGTGAGAGTAAGAGTCGGTCCCGAGGCGTCCTGCCCGGTCGACTTCTTCACAAGTCGTCAGCTGGGGAAAGCCGAAAGTCAACTCACACCGGCTACGGAGTCAGCAAGAGCAATCAAACGAGACAGTACTGGGCTTGCGTTCGGTAGATCGGAAAACTCTGCGCCAGCGGAGTAGGGTTTCCGCCGTATCACATTGCGAGGGCGGCAAAGCGCATGTGAATCCATGCATGGACCTGCAGGGCATAGGGAAGTGAATGAAGAAGATGACTACGATCATGAGGCAATTATGCAACAAGCTCGATGCGTCCAGCGCCTTCATTCGATGCCCCCCTCTACGAATCACGGTCCGCAAAACGTGGTAATGATGCTATCACCAGCACACGGGCCCGTGTGAGCCGTTGATGATGTGCGTTAGCACCGCGGCCGGCCAGCCTGGGGACGCTCCCGTTGCCAGACCAATGATGTAGAGTATGGATCACGATCACCGGAGCCGACTCATCAGACTTCGAGAGACATCCGCGCGCAACAAGGAAGAAACCCGACCCTGGAGACCTCGCTCCCTCCCAGCGAATGACCACCGTAGAAATCCGGTCGTTGCTTTGGTCTGTGCCCTCTGGCTGCGGCATGGCTTGTGCTTGACCTCATTCGACTCGAACGAGAGCCGATCCGAGCAAATCAGTGACCGTCCCATTCGCCAACTTAGACGCAGCTTGGCAAGTTTACATGTCACATCCCTTCGATCTCATCGCTGGGTTTCTGACAAGGCATTGTTGTAGGCCAAGACCGCTCCATTTCGGATGCCTCTGCCCACAACCCATGCGACCTGTCGTGCGTCTGCAGCCCTTCCACCTTCTTGACCATGCTCACTTACACGTCAACAAAAGCCGTCCTACCATCTCGTTTGGCCCTCGCCTGCATCTCTTCCTGTCAAACAGTGCCTGGCTGAGTGCATAGGGCCCCATGCTATGGTTCGGATGGGACCTGTCAAGCCCGTGTAGCACACATTACAACGAACAGGGAGCGATCCAATGCAGGACGACATCCTCCTGAGCAGGCAAGGTCATCTACTGCGATGAACCCACGAGACTCGTTTCACCGAACATCGCCAGCGACTGGCCTCTTTGGTCTGTGTTGACTCACGCAGGTATCCACTCGCAGTGGACTGGCCAAGGGATCGATGGTTGCGCTTCCCCGTCGCGACGAGGTGCTTACGCGACGCAACACAGGATCTCATCATCAACGGTGACGGGAAATGACGACAGTCACGACGGCATTGACAGTTGACTGTCGCTGTTGTGGCTGATGTTCGAGTACTGACGACGCGCCCGACGTCGTTCACAGCCTCCGTTGACGGCATTGAGCATTTCATTGCTTCTCGGCCATGTCGGACGTGACAGCGGCGATACCGAACTGAGCCTGTAGGAACAACAGCGGCCATCATCAAGACCGATGGGTGTGTGTCCAACCGGCGGCAACAACACTTCGCAGTTGCTCACCCACACCTACGCTGCGTTCTTAACGACAACAGAGAACTGACCATACCACATAATATAGCATGACAGTCGACAGGACTTCAGATTCACCATCATCACGCGCCACATCGTTCCCACGACCCTGCCATGATCCAGAAGAAGGAGTCAGCAGTCCGTAGTCGAGCAGGAAACCTTGAAGACCGGTAGGCGATCACGCGCGCCCGGATTGTGTCGTCAAACAAAAGGGGAGCAGCGACACAGGTCGTCCTTTAAGTCACCGAGACTTCAGTCTGCTTCGCGATGCTTGCTATCGTTGCAAGCAGCTTGAGAGATACGGTTTGTCTTGTAGCTGTTGGCGTCAGTGTCGCCGTCAACACGGGCATTGGACAAAAGTCAGACCGCAAGAGCTTGCGCCTGAGACGGCCGTGTGGAAAGCTGTTCGTTGGGCCGGCGCGTCGTGGAGGAAGAGTGTCAGGCAGCTGCCCAAGACGCGGCTTGCATTCACATCTTCTGTCCACAGCATCGAAATGCAAGACAATGGCCCACTCACGCTCAGCCTGCCCTTCGTGCTGCCAACGACGACTTGGATGAAACGAGGCTCAGGGACTTTGTCATAATCGGTTGGCCTTCGAGGACAAAGAGCTGACGCCGATACTGGCGTGGCGTCTACACGTTGCTAGAGCTAGATATCAGCAAGCAGAACGTTAGGGCTGGGCGTTCTTTGCGCCTACCCACCATTCAGACTCAGAAGTGAGAGATGCTTCACGGCCAGAGTTACATCGCATCCCTCACTTCTCTGCCAACCTGAAGCAACAGCGCACGAGGGCAAGACGCTCCTGGAGGCCTCGTGCAGTCGCCTTGAAGTGGCCACCAGCGCGGAGAATGCGGCGATGACAGGTAGGTTATCCAGTATGACTGTTGACAAGGCGGCCCATGTGGTTTGTGCGCTTGCATGTGTTGTGGACCAAGACCAAATTTGCAGTCGAGCTGACGATCAATCTCTCTCACCAACGTGCATACTATCCTCTGATCCTTCCTGCACCGAAGGCTTTCTGAACCGCCCTTGCATCCAGCACCTATACATCTTCAACTTCCTCTGCCGATTCACCAACATCCTTCGATCCACTGCAAGCTTGACAATCTCAAAGCCAGCCGCAGTATGAGATTCCTCCTCGCTGCTACTACTCCACCCTTTGCCCGACCAGATCTCCCTCAACTCCTGCTCCTCAAAGAAGTATACCCTCGTGCCATCCCCTCGTACATAGAAATTTTCCCCCAAATATCTCCCCTTCTTGAATCGAACCTGTGCGAGGTCGCCTCGTCCATAGTCTCGGAACAGAATCTCTCCTCCAGGCTTCAGCAATTCGTATGCATTCGCCACGCCCTGCTCCCATTGATCCGGCGAAAGAGCCGAAAAGATGAAGATCATGACGATAACATCCACACTCCCTGCTTCCAGGCCAGGTGGTAGCTCCGTGCCCGCCGCATCCCAGACATCGGCTTGAAGTACAGCAGGCTGCTTCTGCTCCGTATAAGCCTCTTGAGATCTGATAACCTCAATCGCCTTCTTGCTGTAATCGCACGCATGCAATTTGAGCTCCGGGTTCCGATTTTGCGCCAAGACAGGGAACGCAGTATTTCCCGCTCCAGCGCCAACTTCCAGAACCGTGACCGGTCCATACTCTGCTTTGGTGACGTCTCCCAGGATCGGAAACTCCTGAACCAGCCATTTCCGATCTTTGAAGAAATTCGCGTTGTTGTTCGAGTAGAATTTATCCCACCACTTTTCCGGTTGCGCGTTGAAGCGCTTCTTGTCGAAATCTGAGACCTGATTCTCGCGTTGGAAGAGGGTTTGGTGCTCGATGAAGTCGTGGTATTGGGGGTCGACTTCGACGTGGTCCCAGGCGTTGTGAGCGAAAATGTCGTCGCCTTCTTCCAGAAACCTGGTGCCGAACTGGAAGGGATCCGTACGTTTTTGTGGGTTGGCTTGGGAATCTGTCGGAGGCTTTCGGACTGGTTCATATTTCGCGGGCACTCCATAGGCATCCTCTCCCTGCGGTGGTGTGGGCGGTGGCGTCTCTGGAACTGTCACGTACTGTCGCATATGCTCCATGCCCTTCGTCAGCTGTTGTTTGGGCTTTCTCTGCCGCACTGGCAGTTCCGTCTTCTCGTTTGTCTCTGCTGAGTCTGCCATGTTGCTCCCCGGTCGTTGTTGTCGATATCTTGGCGAGCAAAGTTGAGTCTCGAATTTGGACTTTCTTCACTTCGACGCTCGTGCCTGCAGATCGGAGGCTCCACAGCGGCCCGCATCTTGCATGTGGCCGCGCTAAAACTCCAGCTACGAAAATCTATGATGACATTGGTCCGAGGACATGAACACTGCCAGAGCTACTCCCGAGGCTTAATTTGGCGAACATGGATGCGAGGATATGGGAACAACAGTGACAAACTCATGATTGAGACCCCCGAGCCAAATCGCCAACATGAATACCCTCAGACCACTTTCACAAACCCTTCTCCGAACCTCTGCTAGACACACGACACTCCCATACCGAACCTCACATGTCGCCAATACTTCTCTCCGACCCACGAACCACGAACGACAACAAATCCGACCCTTCTTCGGCAGCGGAAGCAATCCGTTCGGCACCTCGAACCCATTCTCTCAAAACCAGACATTAACAGCCCAACGAACGCTACGATACCCCGCGAGCGTAATCTACAGCATAATCAGCGATGTGGCCTCGTACAGCCAGTTTCTACCATATTGTCATGGCTCCGTAGTGACGAAATACAGCAATCCGGCACCAGACGGAAAGAAATACCCAGAAGAAGCGAAGTTGATCATCGGGTTCAACGACACCATAAGCGAAGAGTTCACCAGTCGCGTATACTGCGTGCCCGAGCGCGTCGTCGAGGCCGTAAGCGGGAACATGGCATCGACATTGTCTGGCGATGACGTCGCACATCACAGTGCACGACCTGCTGTAGAAAACGACGCGGCGCGCAAAGATACGGTCATGGCGCATCTCCTCACGAGATGGACGTTGAAACCCTATCCATACAAGCCCCCGCCACCTTCCGCTATCCATGCGGATGCAGCGCATAGGAATGTGGAAGAGACGAATCCGGTGCAAGGGCAGGAGAAGACGGAGGTGAATCTTGCGGTCGAGTTCCAGTTCTCGAATCCTGTGTATGCGGCGCTGAGCTCGGCTGCTGCGCCGAAGGTTGCGGAGAAGATGATCCAGGCGTTTGAGGAGAGGGTTAAGGCTGTGATGGAGGGGCCTGGGCATGCGAGGGAGGAGAGGGAGGGTAAGAGATTTTAGATAGGGGGGTGTATATATATATGATGAGGTGGGAATGTAGATATAGATAAAAAAAAGGATGGACTTAGATACGGGGTTGAGAATCAGAAACTGCGATTGAAGTCACGAAAGCACTCTCTATCTCGTTCGTAAACAGGCTGTGGCACGGATTTGCTTCTTTTTACAACCTATAGAGGCATATTTCGACCTACGGAATCTTGTCTCAGCCGATAGCATGCGAGCACCCTTAAGCCAACTTCTGGGTCGTCTTTTCCGGTTGGTGTTCTGTCACGGGCGAACTCTTTCAAGACGATTTCTCGATCGCAGGAGCTGATAGCACAACAGGCTTGCAGTACATGACTGAGATGGGAGCTCGGTAAAACAACAGTATTAGCACACGAAGAAGCAACACATAATGCCGAAAACGCCACTGGTTTCGTTATTGGTCGCGTGCGCGCGCCGCTAACACTACAGTCTACTCCTCGCCCCTTCACCCAAGTACCCTTGCTGGATCTTAAGCACATCCACTGCCTCCCGAACCATATCCTCCAAGATCACACCAGCAGGCTTGATTTCTTTAATCACACCCGCTACCTGTCCCATCAAGAAGGGAGGATCGACATCAACGTCATTCTCCAAATCATGCGCCAAAGGCACGATACCTTGGTCGCAAAGTTTCTTGATTTCGTCCGGTCTGTCGATTTCCCAAGTCTTGAGGTAATCATTCATCCTCGCTCTCAAAGGCCGACCGCTGACTACCAGCGTTCTGACTGTATCCTCAAACTCCGCGGTCACGACAGCTTCCTTGTGAAGTTTACTGCAGCCCGCTTCTTCAGATGCTACGAATCTGGTTCCCACCCATACTCCCACTGCTCCGAAAGACAACATCGCTGCCAATGAACGGCCGTTGTAAATACCACCTGCAGCTACAACCAACGCCGGCTTGCCTGTCAGTGGGGATGTGTATTGTCGAGCAATGTCTACGACCGAAGGGATCAGAATCGATGTCGCGATGTCACCGGTATGACCACCTCCTTCACCTCCTTGTGCACAAACAATGTCGACCCCAGCTTTCAAAGCCTTATGAGCATGCTTCGGGTGTCCGACCATGTTCATCACAAGTATTCCAGCCTTGTGTAGTTTCTCAATAACATGTTTCGGCGGGACACCAACAGCCGACACGAACAAGCTTGCCTTCTCTTCAATCACGACATCGATCAATTCGTCTAGCTGTCCATGTGTGTAGTCATGATTCGTCTTCCTCGCCGAGCCGCCGATTTGTGGCAGTGCGAGGTCTACACCAAAGGGCAAGCTCTTGTCGCGAAGGTTCTCCTTGATTTCGTGGATGATCGTTCGCATTTGTTGGGGGGTGTAGCCTAGACCTCCGATGACGCCCAAACCGCCTGCATTTGATACTGCGGCTGCCAGAGGTCCAGAGGATGTGCGAGCCATGCCGGCGAGGATGACGGGATATTCGATCTTGAGGAGCTCGCATAGTGGTGTCTTGAGCGTTGGTCGGGCCATGTTGGCGGTATTTTGGGGGAGTAGATATCTGTACAAGTCTGGTTTTGTTGCTCAAGGAGTCTGCCAGTGGATTCTCCTTCTTGATCTTGAGTGTCCTATACTTGAAGGCATGGTGACAATTCCAAGACGAGTCGTGAAGGCATTAGCTCGGTTCCCTCAGCTGTTTTGTGCCGAAAGTCAAATGCGGAGAGAAGCTCACGGGCCGAGGCTTGCTTAGGTCATCAAAAGTCTGTGCGCCATGTGAAAAAGAGGTGTGAGTGAATGCTATCAATCCTCAACTTCATATTCTCTCAAAAATAATCGCCTGGCCAGATCTAGGCCTAGAATGCGACCCCTTATCCGGCCACAGTCAAGGAAAGTCTTTTCACTGCTTCAGCGTATTGATCAAGCACTTGCGCCGCGAAGTCGCGTTCCCTTTGCGTCCAACTCGCCAGATCACGTCTTTCCATTTCTCGAGCTTTCTGATCAGGACGCGGTCGAAAGCCTCCTAGATCCTTCAGGCAGTCTGCACGTACAGTGCACTCTTGCGCATCTGCATTTGGCACTCAAAGCCGGCTAGGCTGAAAAGCAAGACCAAGATGCGGAACAGGATATCAAAATGATCCAGATTAAGGCAGCTATCTCAGTAAGAAAAGTCGACATGACCACGTTAACTCACACAAGGAAACCCCCTCTTTCGTCAAGGAAGAATGTCCCAATCTTATTACCCCCGCTCAATCAAGATTCTAACCCAAAGAAAAAATCCCCTGCCATTACTCTCTCCCCCATCTCTTCCATACATCACCGCCCCTCCTCAACCTCCTCATCCAAGTGTTCAAAAAACCTACTCGGACAACTCGTCCTTTTCGAACGTCCCGCTCCATCATATAGTCACGGCCAACTGTCACGAAAAGTATTGCTAATGTTACTAACTCTCCTGCCACCGGGAGCCTCAATCGTAGTCTCAATCTCCGCAGGCACCAACATGCTATTCCTCTGCATCACGGCATTCTGGTATTTAAACCCGTGCACACTCTCCCTGATGCCGTCTTCCTGCGACTTGACGGTCTTGAGAGGAGGGATGAAAGGGGCAGCTGGGCTTGAGGCTGAGTGGGGACCTCCGTGCTTGCGGTGAGCGGGGTGGATGGTATGGTGAGTTGTTTTGATTGGGGTTGGGCCTGGTCGTGTAGGGGATTTGGAGCGGGAATGGAGGGATTGAAGTTGGGTTTGAGAGGGAGCTGGAATATTTTGGGATGGGGACTCGGAGCGTAGGGTGGGGACGGAAATATCGAAGTGCCGTCGGAGTTTTGAGGAGACGGGGACTTGGAGGCGGGCGGCTTCTTGGAGCGAGGCGTCGCTAGGTGGTTGAACGGACAACTTGACTACAGCTGGCTCTTCTGTGGAGGCGTTGTTTGGTGTCTCTGAGCGTAGGGCGTGGATCGCGACGCATTGAGCTTGATATTCTGCTGCTAGAGATCCGCTTTCGTTGGAGGAGCGGAAAGTTGTGTTGGTTTTATTGGTGTGGCCGCTATTCTCCCGAGTGAGAACCTGAGCGGGCATGTGAAGCTCGCCGGGATGCACGGTGGCGCTGAGGCCGGATTCGTCTTCCGTTGGGTAGCCTGAGGATTTGGGGAAGTTGACAGTGTCGACGTTCAATGCGCCACGTGTCAAGCGCCGTCGATCTTTCTCAGGAGGTGGTGGAAGAGAACGAGACTGGCTGGTGTCGATGGTCTCAACAACTGGGACTGCTGGGGAAGACTTCGGACTACAAGGCTCTTCTGAGATGTTGGACTGAATCGTCTTTATCGAAGCCTTCGATGGATTTCGCTGATGGATGTACGGAACCTTGAGCGCTTCCATGCTGATTCTCGGTCTCATACTGCATACGCACGTCAGTTAAGAGCGATGGAAGCGAACTATGTTCTAGATGTGGCAACTCACTCACTGCACAAGCTCGTAGATCTCTAATTTGGAGTCGGAATCGAGGCCCAGCTGTAAGGCCCGTCAGTACTCAGGCTCCCATTTCATCCGCATAATGCACTGACATCGTCCGGTGTCTCCATGTTCTTGACCCATTTGCCCTTCCAAAACACCTTTAGACGGGCCACTTCCTTTGGTGGTTCGCAATCCTTGGCGTAGGCTTCCAACAAGTTCTGAAAGTAATCGCCTCTCATCATTGTCATCCACTTGATGCTCTCCACTCCCTTCAGACAGACTCTGACTTCTTCATTTGGTCTTGAAGGTAAAATCTTGTCCCTGCCCTTCTTGCGCTTGGTATTACTCGTCATAATTTTGGCGGCATTGGCGGCTGGGATGGTGCCGCGATCTCGTTCAGCAGGTAATGCGGCACGGATCTCCCCAGATGATTTCAGCTCGCCCAGGCGATCTTCCGGTGCGTGAGAATTGCGAAACGTTTCGCCTCTTCTGAGCTCTCTGTGCTCTTTCTGTCGTTCTTGCTGAGCATCATGGGCTGATTCGAGAAGCGGCAAGATGATGGAGTCGAGGTCTCTATGCCAAGGATACTCAACCTCGACCTCAGTCGTACCCTACGTTGACCTCAGCATATCGCTCCTATCACACTGGCTTCTTCCATAGCATACCCAGGTCCCAATTGGAAGATCGAACTTTAGCTTAGTCGGCTCGCACATGTTGATCTCTTTTGCGAGCGACAAGCAACGAGGGACTTTACGTAATTGTGAAATGGTGACGGCCGACACTTGTAAACAGGTTGAGGAGAAGCTCGAAGCGATAAGGTGTAGACGGCGCGGATGATGTTTCCACTATATAATGGGGGCTAGATGATCCGATCACAAGAGCTGTATGGATCATATCAGGAACGGCAGTTCACGACTGATGCAGCCTTTGCGTGGTGTTGCCGTTGGTGTGATTTTCCTTCAGCACGCCATTGGTGGCAGATGCATAGAGTTCTTTTCACAACCTTGATATGAAGCACGTGGCTCCGAAAGGTCCAAGTCTTGCAATCTCGTTCTTCCAGGAAGTGGTATAAAAATATACATAGATGAAATACGACCAAAGGCCGAGTTCCGATCGATATTCTTTCCCCTTCAGCTCTCGTGAACACTGAGGATCTTTGAGGTGCAGAAACTCAGAGCCCGGCCGGAGAGAGTGAGATTGGTTCGCGAGAAGTGCTTTTCAACTTTATGGCGATCTGTACGAATGGCAACGTGGGTGAGCGTGGCCGGATACCCAAATTAGAACCATTGACAAGGCTATAACCATGACCTTGCTGTCGTTCCTCAGCCAGCATGAGCTATGCTCCAGATTCTGCCGTCATCCGAGACCGGGCTCAATGCTGAGGCTCCGGAAATTGATGATATCGCAGAAGCTGACGGGGAAGGAGACATTGTTTTTCGACGGTAGTGAGTGTTGTGAAAGATGGAAGGGAGTTGGGAAAGAAAGAAAGAAAGGAATGGCGGAGGACAGCAACAGCACGATCTGGCCGGGCCGCGCGGGCGAGGACCCCAATGCGGAGGCCCGCACTTTTCGGAGAGACAGAGACAGATCGCATCATTCGCATGACACCTGATCCCGACCAGCGTCGTGCAAGGTACCAGTGATAACCAATGCGCACTGACAGACAGCCTGAACCGCACCTGGAAACACGGCCACGGCCCACCGGCAACGAGCACCTCATGCGACGAGGCTGAGCGCAATTTCTGAGCGCGCAGACAGTCCGGGCATGGTTCATGGTCGAGTCACGGCGACATGTATCGCGCATCCGACCCGCGCTTTCGACGAAGGCTCAACGACATCACCCAGACCCTCGAGTCGGCCAATGAGTCTGCTCAGAGCGGCATATACATCTTCGGCCAGAACTATGTCAAGCCTTGCTTCCAGAGCATCGCATCGTGCTTCACGTCCTGCGTAGATGCATCTTGTCCCGCGCTCAACGTCAGCCAACGTGATCGGCTGCGACGACAACGGGGTCGAGGCCGGTCGCGAGGCCGTGCAGAGCTTAGCTTTGATTTCTATGACGACTGGGACGATGATGATAATGATGCTCTGCTAGGCTGGGGCAATGACGAATTCGACAGACTTGTTGGCGCAGGTGGGAGTGCACCGAGCTATGGCACAGTGTCCGCCCAGCCGGGAAGGCAGAGAGGCATGTCATATCCCAAAAGTAGGCGGAAAAGTGCTGCCGCCCTAGGCGAAGAAGATCCGACAGTGATCCCTGGAAGCTCGAGCTTCTGGAGAAGAATGTTTGGAGGAAAGAGCATGCGTTATAAGCCAAGCGCCGCAGATCTACAAGAACACCCGGGCGCTCGAAAAACACGGGCACGGGATCTCACCGAAGGCGAGAGGCTTCTAGAAGAAGACGAAGAGCTGTTTGGTGGAAGAGGTAAAGGTCGGGCACGTAGCGGTACTCAGGGCAGCAGAGATACCACGGGCAGCTACAGTAGTAGAGGAGATATCTTCCCTTCGGACGAAGAAGACGATGCGATCCCGCTAGACGACGAATTCGCCATGGTGCTGGAGCGAAGAACGACCTTCTCCGGACCAGATACAGAAAGCAGTTCTGGCAAGACGGGTATTGCGAAAAGAGGAAAGAGACCTTCGGCTGGGTCTCGGGCATCCACGCGACGGACCTTCTCCTCGCAAAGCACTCGCAGTGAGACTGGAAGCGGGAGAAGGAAAAGGCGAAGCACAAGGAGTAGCATTTCGCACACACCAACTTCCGAAGCACGCGTTGGCGGCACGGAAGATGTCTCGCACATGCAAGGCTCGACGACATCTTTGGCGGATCTGAAACGTCAGGAAGCGCAGATGGCACAAGAAGAGGAAGAAGACATCGAGAGGAGACGACAGACAGCACAGAGAATAGCAGCTGAACGCGGACTCGTCGGAGAGGATCTCTCGAGCAAAGAGGCAACGCCGCGAAGCACGACGCCTGCTCCAATTCCTGAGGAGCCAAGTCAATTGCCCACGCCTCTTCCGACAGATGATGAGGACGATGTCTCTCGGCAGGAACAAGAGATGGCCGCTTCGAATCAAGGTGACAGACCGGCATGGTGAATGATACTTTGATCGATTTATTTGCGGGTTTAGCGAGGCGTAGGGAGGGTAAGCGTTGCTCCATTGCGGCATACAGTACGAGCAGACGCATTTATGAAGCCATGGGTGGCTACGAAAATCCATGTAATGATAGCAAATCGGGTTGGACGTGAATTGGAATCGCGACAGAATTTTGATTATCTGCCTTCACGCTCTTCTCCAGGACGATGCGCTGCTTAGCAAAGAACTGGGCGATAACGGACCGCTGCACCTCATACAGTACAGCGCGGTGAGGTGCAGACATGCAGATCTAGCCTGCGGTCGACTTGAGTCGTGTGCGGCGTTGAGCAAGGCAAACTAGGAAGTGTTGTGGACCACTATCGCGTTCCAAGACTGGTGTCAGGACCAAAGAGGTTACACGTGATTGGCATGTGACCAGGCTCGAGTGAAGCCAGGGTCTTGATGCCTCAGGCAGGGCTTGGCGCTTGGCGTTGGGCCAACTGGCCTGCCTTCCTCCCTCTCCTCTTAGATCTCTATCGAATACTATACTGATTTACTACTACCCTATCTACCTGCTGATATAACCCTTCTTATACAGTATTCGATCCACCCTTTAAGGGCAGCAGCTAGATAGTTCTTATTTCAAGCTTTTAGCAGTATAGCTACGAATAAGACTAATCTAACTATATTGCGCCCGAAGAACGGGACCTATACGTACCATCCTATCGAAACAACCGTACCAATTATCAAGCAAGGCCTTCTATACGGCCTATTACACTAAGTTAAGCATACTAAGCCGATATCTACTAATTCCGCTATATCCGTATCTTAGGGGCTAATAATACATTATTAGTGTCGCCCCTTATAATAGCCGGTTTATTACGAAACAACAACCGTGCTGCCGCTAGCAGCGCTAGCAACGACAACGCTAGTAGCACAGTTCCCGCTAAAGTGCCTACTAAAGTGCCTCCTACTAAAGAGCCTACCGGAGAGCCTATTAAAGAAGAACCTACAATTCTAGGTAACGACCTAGAATTACCTGTCGACGACATTCTTAACAATATTGTCAACCGTCGATATAGCTAGCTAGCCTTTAGTCCCTAACCAGTAGCGAGACTTTAAGAAGCTACCTAAAACAGGCTTACTGCCTTGCGTTAAGAACAATAGCTAAAGGATAATCTTCTCGAGATTCGCCGCCTCTAGGAATCTCTAACAACTACTACTAAGCCAATAGTAGGACCTTCTTTACTACCTGTCTAAAAGAAGGACGCTAAACTTAAGGACTATACCGTATTTAATAGCTCTAGTCGAAAGCAGTATAACGACTACATTCGTAACTATAAACTTAACTAGCGCAATGCACTAAGAGCGCTACTAGACGACTATTCCTTAGTCGTATACGCTATACAGTACATTAATAGCGACCTAAAGCGTATATAGGATAACTATTTCGACTCCCTTAATAACTAGACTACTGTTTAGTAGCAAACCTACAAAACTATTATACTAGACACCCTTAGAAACCCTATACTAAGGCAACAACACGCTTAGGACCTATATCTTCGAGCTAAACAGAAGACTAATCAATCGGCTCGCTTATTTGAAGCCTATTTAAAAACCCTTAAAGACGACCTTCCGCCTAAGACTAATTCTATATAGATCTCCGAGATACGCCTAAAACTCAGATAGGAGCTTATCCTCGAATTAGACCGTCGCCGTGTGTTCGAACAAGCTAATCTAACACGTATTCAATTCATAGTCGAAGTGGAAACAGCCGAACGGGCTGTTTAGCTCTAATAACGACTAGAATCGAGGATTCGACTAGCTAGTACTAACCGTAGCAACCGTAGCCGCGGAGGAAACCAAGGTTCCTACTAGGACAACAATGCTAACAATAGGAACAGTAACGATCGTAGAAGAGGCTATAGCCGCCGGCTATATAGAGGAGGCCGCGACAGGGGCCGTAGAAGGGGCTCGTATCCCTACAATACTAACCGCTCGACTAATAATAGCAGCAACAATAGCTATAGCAACAATCTCCCGACCGGATTAAAGTGCTTTAATTGTAACAGCACTAGCTATCTACTAGGCCAATGCGACAAACCTAAGGACTAGGCCCGAATTAACCGTACTTCCGCTAAGTATAGGAAACACCTTTTAGCCGCTAATGCTACCCTAGTCGGCTCTTTTAATTAGTCGAAAAAAGAATAAGCGCCGCACTAACTGTTGGCCTTGTACGGCGTAAGACTATCGACATTGTACTAGCTATAACACGCTCCTGCCTTGTATAGGACACGAAGGGCACTACCTATTAAACCAAGGTTATACTAGATCTAGGAAATTCAGTTAGCGCCCTTATTAGCTATCGCCTAGCTAAGCAATTAGACCTTCGACAACTGCCGAAGACTAACCTGCTAACCCTTGCTTGGTTTAATAACGCTCGGCACTTAACCTATAGGGCCTACTATATTCCTATAGCTCTAAAGGACGACCTCGGAAATGAGCGCCTACTAGATTTCACTGCCTACGCAGTAGACATAGACAGCCTCCTATCCGATATTGTTATTAGTAACCCTGTTCTTAAGTACTACGCTATAGCTATAGACCTAGGCCTCTAGAAGTAGCGATTTAGAATCGCTAGGAAAGAGGATATTAAATACATTAATGTTAGCGAGTGTCCTAATGATATTAGGGTCCTGTTTATTAGCAACCTAACACCTGCCTTAGCTAATCCGACTGCCGACCTGCTCGGTAGTAATAACGATAAACCAGTGCCCCCTAATAGCATAGATCCTAAACAACTTAGGCGCATACTAGAACCCATTCGAGAGACCTACATTAATATATTCAAACACCACTTAGCATCGACATTGCCTATGTTTAAAGAGACGGATTATAAGATTGATATTATAGAGGGCAAAGAGGTTCCTTTTAGCCCCCTCTATAACCTTAGTAAGCGAGAGCTTGCTATACTGCGTAAGTACCTAGAGGAAAACCTAGCTAATAGTCGCATTCGGTATAGTAATAGCCCTGCTAGTGCACTAATCCTGTTTGTTCTAAAGAAGGATAGTAGCCTGCGGTTATACGTTGATTACCGTAGACTTAATACTATTACTATTAAAGACCGCTATCCACTTCCGCTTATTAATAAGACCCTCGATCGCCTTTCTAGTGCCTACTACTATACTATATTGGACATTAAGGACGCCTATTACCGCATCTGTATTCGTAAGGGCGATAAATAGAAGACAGCCTTCCGCACTCGCTATAGCTACTTCGAGTACTTAGTTATGCTATTCGGGCTAGCTAATGCCCCTATAACATTCTAATCCTACATCAATCGAGCCCTTTTAGGCCTATTAGACTATCTCTATATAGTTTACCTAGATAACATCCTAGTTTATATACATTCACCTAATATTGCAGAATACTAGGCCGTAGTACGTAAGGTCCTCGACCGCCTACGAGCCTATAGCCTATATTACAAACCTTCTAAATGCACCTTTGCTACTAAAGAGGTGTTATTCCTTAGCTTCCTCGTATTAACTAAGGGTGTTAAGGCTAATCCTAATCGGATTAAAACTATTACTAAATAGCCTGTTCCTACGTCTATTAAGGAACTTTAATCGTTCCTCGGCTTCGCTAATTTCTACCGCCGCTTTATTAAGGGCTATTTACGGTATGTAATGCCCCTAACTAAGCTCACCAAAACTAAGGCCAACCCGTCTAGAGAGTTCAAATAGACTAATAAGACACAAGCCGCTTTTAACGGCCTAAAGCAACGCTTTACTAAAGTGCCCCTATTGCACTATTTCGTGCTAAGCAAGCAGATCCGAATTGAGACTAACGCTTTACAGTTCGCTATATCGGCTATTATGTTACAGCAATTAGATAATAACTATTACTAGTACCCGATTGGCTTCTTTTTACGAAAGATAATCGATATAGAACGTCGATATAAGACCTACGAGCAAGAGCTCTTAGCAATCGTAGAAGCCTTTAAGCATTAGCGCTACTATCTCGATAGTGCTTAGCATACAATTTAGGTCTATATAGACTATAACAACCTCCGTAGCATTACTAAGGTTACTAGGGTTATAGGTCGACAGGCTAGATAGGCCGTCTACCTCGCCGGGTTTGATTTTAATATATTATATCGGCTAGGCGTAAGCAACCCTGCTAATAGCCTATCGAGGCGACCTAATTACGATAGCGAGACCTAATATATTAATTCTTTGTTTCTAACCCTATAGTATAAGATTGCTATAGCCCGTATTGTTAATAAGCAAGCGTAGGATAAGCGGACTTCCGGACCCCGCGGCGACAACAAATACTATAGCGGAGTTGTCGTTCTTCTAGTGCACGTTAAGAAGGACGTAGATCGCTCGAGCTATAATAACTCGATTAAAGATATTGCTATCTATAGCGACAGCACTATAGAAGAGGTTGCAGTAGTTCCGGCTACTAGTACTATTAGATGCATATAATACGTACCTCGTTCGATAGCGAGGGTACTATTAAATAACCTTGCAAATAGGGATAGTTAATCGTTTATAAATAAGCTGTTACGTGCTTAGCAGAGGGACGCCTTTGCTGTCGAGCGCATTAATAAGCTTATAAGTAGACGGGCGACTCGATCTAGCAAGAGTAACAACAATTAGTCGATCGACGATAAAGGTTACTTAAAGTTTAAGGGCAGGTATTATGTCCCCGCTAAACAATCGATTAGGCAAGAGCTTTTAAAAAGGCACTATAATAGTAAGCTCGCTAGTTACTATAGTATAGAGAGGTCGCACGAGTTACTATCGCGTATATACTACTAGCCAAATAGTAAGCGGCATATAAAGGAGTATATACAGACTTGTATAGTATACTAGCGAGTTAAAGCACCGAAGCACTTGCCGTTCGGCGAGTTGTCCTCGCTCCCTGTTCTAAAGAAGCCATTTACTAAGCTAATAATAGACTTTATTACAGGCCTTCTACCTACTAGGCGTAGGGGCAGCAAGGACGTATATAATGCT